CAATCGTGCAAAAAGCAACTGTGCAATAAGTTCGCTTGCAGAGGAAGGTCCATTCAGTTCGATGTCTGAGCATCCACTGCCTTGTACATGGTGGCGCTGTTGTAGCTTAGTTATGTGGTTGCTACAAAACTAAAAAACGGAAAATAAAGAATGCTGACGAAACGAAAACAACAACAACAAAAATTCTTTTTTGTCGCCATTGTTTAGTGCTACGAAAATTCGTCTTTGGTATTTGCCAAAAACAAAACAAGATGCAATTTAATTTTTTCAGGAGCGAAATATTTTACCGAAAAAACGAAAATGTACCAATTCCCACGACATGAAATTTTATCTTGATAAACGTACGTTTTGGAAAGGCTTATTTCATTTCGAATCTTATTTATCAGAGTTCATATGGCGATATCATTGTTTTGAATCTATGCTAAACTCTATATCGGCCCATTTTCCACCGAAATCCGATTGACTGCTTTGATTTTAAATAAAGTGTTTTATTTTATGATTTGTCGCAAAAATTTTAAGTGCAGATTGGTGGCACTTAAAAACCGCCAAATCTGTAGCTGCAGTGGCGTTAGTACCGAATTTTTATTCCATACTTTTCTGAATCATATTACTTCAAACATTGGAATATACAAGAAGTATACATAAACACATAATGTAATACCATTTAATTTTTCAAAAAAAGTATTTTGACAACAATTTTTATCAAAAATTTATAAACTGAAAAGCGTAAAATAAAGAATTCTTAGGATAAAAAACGATTTTAAAAATTCTTTATATTGAAATAAAAACTTTCATATTGTTTCTTTTTTTTATTCTTATAGTTCTTAATCAGACGTAAAAAACCATTCTGTAAAGAACTATTATCAAATAAGAAAAAAAAAATATTTGCAAGCAAATGTTTTATTATAAAAATCATAACACTCACCTGTTTTATAAATCCGCATAATCTATGCATATATTATTTGAAAATTTTATTTTCAAATAATATATGCATAGATTATCCCTTCATTACTTTTAGATAGCATACCACACATCAAAATTTAATAATTGTAAGATCTCGAGATGAATTTGAATACGTAGCTTCAAATCAGAATAGCTGAATTCTAGTTGAAATTATTCTTTCAAAACTAAAAAATACGTACCAAGAAAACGATAAAAAAATTATTAATAATCAGCACAAATGAAACTATTTCAAGTAGTTCAGATGATTCATTATTGTTGTTTTCCGAATTATATAGATACAGAAATATATACTATTCTATAAAGTAGAAGAATATTCTATAACTATTACAGTTCTGTAAGTTCTGAATTCACTTTATTCATTGGAATGACGAAAGCAATCTTGACTTCACTTTAATTTGTAATAACTTGAAGACAGAAGAAATTATTTTACCGTAATACACACAATCTGTAACAGCAAGTGATCATGAAATTGGAAGTTATGTTGTTGGTAATAGAAAGGTAAAAATTATTGAGAAATTGCTTGGCGTGTTCTGCTTCAATGTTTGGCATGTTCTGGTTAGTTTTTCAAGAAGTTCTACCATTTCCTTAGGGAAATTTTGCTTCTTATTTGCTGCTAAGAAAATGGCGTCCGTCATTGGCAATGGTTATGTGGGAACTAATGCCCGATATTTTCAGTCTCCCGCTAGAGGGCGTACTCGAGCGTTGCGATCGCGAATCTAGTTTAAAGTTTAGACGCGATATCATAATTTATTATTTAATAATGCATTATTTCATCAATATTTTAAGTGATTCAAATACTGTCAGAAAAATGAACTACTATAGGAAAGATTATAATCTTAAAAAGGTAATATATTTCAATTTACAGTTTAAAATTTCAATTTATAATTTCAATAAATTTCAATTTATAGTTCATAATTTGGAGAACATTCTTACAGAATATGGTTCAACCATTTTGCCTAAAATGTAACAACCATATTTTCAATTTTCTCAATATTTACTAAGAATATTTATTTTGATGAAAAAGTTTCAATTGGATACCTGTAAGTGACGTCGTCGTAGGTAAATTGCGACATTTGTTGATTCAGTAACCAATCAGGTTAGAACCCCTGAATCGGAGATGCCGGCTTATCCGCCATTTTGGAGCAAAAGCTTTTCCGCGACAGAGGTACAAGATTTGGCTACAGTAGAGAAGCCTTAAATCAGGTTCGACACACACGAATGATTTCGCTTATAAGTAACCAATTAAATCTAATTTAAATCACGCGGTTAGCCATAATCTCACTTCTTCTGGAATTGCGAATATCCAATTAAAAATGCAGTCGGTGCAGCGTTGGAAAATATTTCTCATTAAAATTAAAAGTATGTTTTCTAAACAACTTACTTAACACAAAAATAAATATTTGAAAAAATAAAAGTGAAGAAATATTTTCACTCTCTTAAAAATTAAAACTGATTCAACATTTTTGAAAATTTTTGAACGGCAACCGCCAAATCATTTCTGCACTAGTCAAGTCAAGGAACTCACTCGCACAAATAATTATATTTTGACTGTCAAGTCAGTCATCAGTTATCTTCGCTGCATCACAAAACGAAAAAAAAAAATCAAGCGTTCTCTGGTGTAAGAATTACATTCTCGTGCACTCATGCATAATAAAAATTATTTATCACGTTGTTGCTTTAGTTTTTCACTGAAAAGAAAATACTGAGCTGAAAGCTTCATTTCATTTTAAAGTTATGGCTAATAGTCTTGCGAAAGTAAGAAAACAAGTAATTGTGCGATTATCAACAAAAATACAAACATCTTCTAAGAAGATTAATGTCTGGCTATACTCAATGTCAACTCAATAGGGTTTTTTATACCCTATTATATTCACATTTATTTTATTCAAGAGCTGTAGCATATCAAAAGTACTTTCTGTCAGATCTGTGCGATGGCAGTTCTTCCCATTCAATAAAACTTGATGTAGAACACTTTTCCTCTGCAATACTTAAAGTGACCACAGCGCATCCACTAAAAGGAAAAGTAGATTGTTCTGTTAATGTAACAGCAAGTAAAGCTGATGGAATTATAATCAGTGTATCAGATATGAGCTTCAGCGGTAGCTGCACATCATCATCTATCAACTTCATATCAAAAAGAAATGGCGTCTCACTTTGCGAGATCAACTCAACATCTATTCTTAGTAGGAGTAGCTTTGTTTTTCAAGATATACCAGTACGTTTGACATACAAATCTGACTCTGCTTCCATTATTGATCTCAAGATAATTTTCACAGCTTACACAATCAGTGCTTGTGAAGATGTAAAGGAATATAAATGTTTGAAGGAACAGTGCGTATGGGCAGGGTTGGTATGTGATGGAGAGAATAATTGCGGCGATTATTCGGAAGAAGCAGCGAATCCCAAACTCTCGAATTGTGAAAAGGGATATGATTTGGGTTTTTTGATCCTCATACCAATTGTTATAGCTATACCTTTTGTTATACTTGGAATTAAAATCTTGATGTATTTTTGCCTTACAAGTGCCCCGCACAATACTTTCATAGTTTATAGAAATCGAAAACAGCCAAATTTTTTGTATGCTTATCCAGATCTAGCTCCCCTGCCAAATATTCAAGAACGCGCAGTTGCTAAACAAAACGAAAATGATGAGATTATTGTACAAAGGTATTCACAAGATAAAGTAAGCGAAAGCAATGTATTGAAAGAACACACTGATTCATCAAAGAAAGAAATTGAAAAAAGTGCAACAGATAAGTTGGCTGTTTCATTTGATGAAGAATGTAAAAATGCTGAAACACATGTTAAACAAACTGAAAGCGATTCACCGGATAAAGTAAGTGAAAACAATGTATTGAAAGAACACACTGATTCATCGGAGAAAGGAATCGAAAAATATGCACCAGATGAGTTAATTGTTTCAGGTGATGAGAAAATTAAAAGCGCTGAAACACTAGTCGAACAAACTGAAAGTGATTCAGAAGATAAAGCATGCGAAGACAATGTATTGGAAGAACACACAGATTCACCAAAGAAAGAAATCGAAAAAAGTGCATCAGATGAGTTAACTGTTTCATTTAATGAAGAGAATGAAAGCGATCAAACACTTGTTAAGCGAACCGAAAGTGATGGGACTATTGCACTGAGCGATTCACAAGATAAAGTAAGTGAGAACAATGTATTGAAGGAACACACTGATTTATCAAAGCAAGAAATCGAAAAAAGCGCATCAGATAAGTTAGCTGATCCATTTGATAAAGAAGGAAAAAAAGATGAAACACTTGTTGAAAAATTGAAACACTTGTTGGAAAGAGATGCACGTATTGCACAAAGCCATTCACAAGATAAAGTAAACGAAAATAATTTATTGAAAAATCACACTGATTCATCAAAGAAAGAAATCGAAAAAAGTGCTTCAGATGAGTTAACTTGTCCATTTGAGGAAGAAAGTCAAAGCGATGAAACACTTGTTGAACAAATTGAAAGAGATGCTCGTATTGCACAAAGCCATTCTCAAGAAAAAGTGAGCGAAAATAATGATACAATAATTGAAAATAATAATGTGTTGAAAAATCACACTGATTCATCAAGGAAAGAAATCGAAAAAAATGCTTCAGATGAGCCAACTGGTTCAGATGATAAAAAAATTAAAAACGATGAAACACTTATTAAACAAATTGAAAAAGATGCGCGTATTGCACAAACCCATTCACAAGATAAAGTAAGCGAAGGAGCCATCGGATATGTTAACTGGTTCAATTAATGAAAAACATATTTTAAAAAACTGATTCTTTCGATAAGAACCAGTTAACCAGTAAAACTATTTAAGGTAACCTTAAGAGCCAGTTTTGATAATATTAACTTTATCGAACTAATTTACAAAGAAATAAAATGAAAACAGCTCTTATATACTGATGATTAAACTTATAAATAAAGAATACAGTGTGTCTGTAAATGTTGTAACCATAATTAAAACAAGTGATTTATGTTATCATGAAGCCAAGTAGCACTAAACTATAATTTATAGTCTTGAAGTAAAGATATTCTCGTCAAAAAAATAATTAAAATAGTAATAATAATATTGTTTTGAGTTAATATCATCTAGTCCTTATAAAGTATCTTTTATAATTAGAATGTATAATTAAACTAAACTGTACAGTCGACAATAACATTAAAGTAAATAAAATTTTATGTTATACGAAAATTGCATGTATTTTTAATGGGATAATTATATTCAATTATTTTGCAAGCTTGTTTTATCATTTACAACTTCGGTAGCTTTCGGCAACTATTGGTCCGTCTTCACGAATGCATCAGTTTCATACTGACCCCTACAAATGTTACAAATTATGGTGCATGTTACAAATTATGGTACATGTTACAAATTATGGTACCAGGGTTTCAGAACTATGCTACATTCGGCAGCATAGCTTTGAATCCATCGTACTATAGTGTTTTAAGTGCTATTTCCCTTAGTTTAGTTCGAAGTTAACTATTGTAACCGTTAAGATCCAACTAGTTCTAAAAGTATTTATTATTACATTGAAAATGAAAAAGAAAGTAACAGTTACAGAGTAATGTACGAAAAATAGAACTTAGACTAAAAAGACCACAGAACATTTAGGAAATGTTAGTCTCACGGAGATAAATTTTGAGAAAACTTCATGCTTCTGAAGCTGGAAGTCGACTGAAAGTCGTCTTTGTTGCCACTAGATGGCGTTCGAAAAGTTAGCTTATAGACACAATTATAAATTGTTTTCCATGGAATAGCACTTTGTTACAAATTATGGTATAATGTTTTTCCCCCTTCAATAGGTATTGTTGGTTGCATTTGGTTTATCGTTTGGGTTTGTTTGGCTCATAGCACACCAACTGATCATCCACGTATATCTAGAAATGAGCTTGAATACATACAAAAAGGCAATATCCAGATGACGGCTAATCAGAAAGTAAGTCTTTCGTATGAGATGTATAAAAGAATTCTAAAAAGTAAATATATATCTTGACTTTTTTTTAAATTTCTGTGTTTTAGTTACCCATACCTTGGAAACATGTTCTGTTCAGCCTTCCAATTTGGACTGCGGCCTTTTGCACATTCTCATCAGCTTGGTGCTTCCTGACATTGTTAACTAAACTTCCAACTTATTTAGAAGTGGTGCTACATATACCTATTCAAAACGTAATATTTTCTTATAAACTTTTAAGAGAGGTCCGCATTCTTTTAGAACTTTAAGGGGTGATTCAACACAGCAGTTAAGAATTTGGAGGGAAGATAAACAAATAATAAGAACTCTACCAAAATTCACCGTTAAAGTTGCTTTCAAATAGGCCTAAAATGACCTGTTTTATTGTAATTTATTGACTTGGCTCTCAAACTGACGAGCTTTGCAAGTTACGCGCCAAACCAATACACTACACTGTAATCTCAACGCCAGAAATGGTTGCAACTACTATACAACAAAGTGGTATAATGAAACACCATACATATTCTTGCACGTAAATTTTCATTATACCGAGAATGTTCTTTTACATCTCTTAGTGCAAAGTAGCAGCTACCATTTGTGTTATCCAATAGCACAAAAATTTATCATTACAATAAGATAAGACACGTATAAGACTCAGTAAAGTTATTTTTTGGATATGATATAGAGTGAGAATCATTCATGGCAGAGTGCTGGATTCCCGCTCGTGAGAATCCAGCCGGCCGAACACTCCCTGTGTGGTAAATAGTGACTGTTGCACGTTAAATCTGTCGGGTCACAAAGTCCTCTATGCCCCCATAATAAATTATTCACCTGGGGGTGCTGAATTATGCAAAATTTCGATCTGTGGATGAATGAATGGATGTATGAATGGGCCAGTCCTATAAACGGATGTGGAAGAAGTCGAATACTTAGCTGTACATGGCGCCACTGTAAAACAAGAACCCCTTGCCTGAATGACCTGCGACAACAATTGACAACTTGATGTAAATCTTCTTATGAGAAAATAATTATTTTTATTATACAACTAAAAGCCTGCAAACTTTTTTTTATAATATTTTATTTCTGTGAAACGTTCAGCATCGTGTGAGGTGAAATCAAACTTTCACCTTCTCCGGTCGACTAAATATCGATCGTCTAATTGGCGAAAATTGTTCTTGAATTGTGTAAATGCATCTGATATTAGTGTAAGTTCATTTTTTGAACTGCCCCCTTTAACGTGTGCATGAGTTTTCATTTCGAGATTAACTTAAAATAACACATAATTCTTATTTTCTCGACACCGAATTCAGATAGGTTTTTGCAGTATACGATAAAACAGCTAAACATGGTCCTATTTGTATGCAATTTTCGCAATGAAAATTAGAAAATATAAAGTTAAGGTAATCCACATAGATGAAATTATCATATCAAATGCACTCAAACAGCTAGTTTATAATATAAAAGTGCCCCTAGCTGCGTACTATAGCATTTTTGATCATGGGTTACAGTGAAATTCTTAATCCTTGTGATGGGCCTAACCATCTCTCTCCAAGTTTGTAATTGTTGTGTTGAATCATACTGAATAAATTGACAACGTTTGGGAATTTATTCGGATATAAAAAATTAATGAGTGCTATTTCTTACTACGTTTTGGCGAAGATTAATTAAAAAATTATAATTAAGGTGGTGATTAGGTAAGCCAAAATAAAATTAAAAACAACGTGAATAAAGCACAAATCAAGTACGAGAATGAGCATACTATAACTTCGGTTCTCTAGAAAAGAACCTTACTCAGTGTTTAAACAAAAAATGACATTCGAAAATTAAAGAGACAAACAAATATAAAGTGGTTTAACCAAGCAGGAAGGAGGAACGAGTTTGAACAAGATAATAAAAAGAAGGACAATAAGAAACAGGTGTGATGGGGCTTGGCAGAAACCCTAGGGGGCAAAAGATTAAATAAAAAAAAATTTCCAAATATTGGAGAAAAGTGGAATACTAGAAAGATCATTAACTAAATTATTAGATTTTTGCAAAATATGGAGCGATTCCCTGAAATCGAGTTCGGTCGATGAAGAGCAGTATTGAATGACTTTAGCAAAAGAAATCTTAAACTTACGATTAGAAAACTATGTTAGGCGATGAAAGATCATTTAAAATCCTAATTTTTGACATTTCTTTCAAATTCTTTAAGCTTAAGGGTACGTTTAGTAACCCAATTACAATAGATCACACTGGAGCCGAGATGGTTCAGGAGATAGAGCGTTCGTCTTCCAATGAGGTGAACCGGATTTGAATCCCAGCGATGGTTGGTCGATACGAATTCCGCATCCGGCTTGCACCGACCACAATGCTGACGTGAAATATCCTCAGACGGATCATGGGTTAGAGTCCTCTTGCCATCAGGCTAAACGAGGTAGGTTTTCATGGTTTTCCTCTCCATTTAAAGCACATGCTGGTTAGTTTTATCAAAAAGTTCTCCACGAAAGCAAATTTCGCCCAATATTTGATTAAGGTGTTCCCTTGTCTTCTGGATTGGGTTCAAAATTACAAGGCTACGGAGTTGAACATCAGTAGTCGTAAACCCCAAATTTGGGTCGGCTGTTCTACGACGGTTATAAAATAAAATAAAATAGATTACACTGACAAGAAGTTTGATGACTGCCCCTGCAATAGGATCTTTAAGGTCGGTTAAGACAATAGCTTAGAAGTAATAGCTGGGGCATTTATAAAATTTCTTGTCAGAGATTTCTATCGTATATTGGACAAACTAAACTGACTCATAAACTTTGACTTAAAGAACATGAAAGCTATGTCCATAAAAGGAGAACCCGGTATTTCTTACAATGTTGGTTATTTTAATATACCCTAATCGAGTACTGTTAATATAATAACCATTGATATTTAAAAATAACCAAATAACTCCATTAACGTGTGTTTCATAAAATAATTGTTCTATTGCAAAACACAAGAAAATTTTCAAATAAATATGTGACAAAGTTCTTAAAAATGTTAGATCGTTAAACTAAAAATAGGTTTTATTTTTTTATTTTTTTTTTAAGGAAAAGAAAATAAATTGATTCAAATGCCTGAAATGGTACTAAAATCCTCCTTGAACAAATATAAGAATTCCATATGAGTCTTACTGAAATTTATTTTACATCAAAACGGAAGGAGATTCCTTCGTATAATAATATATATTTTTTAATAATGAATCGTTTTTAAAATAATATATTTTTTTAATAATATAAATTTTTTATTCATGCGAAGAAAAAAATTGTGCGTGTATGTTTATACAGGGTGTCCCAAAAGGTCGTTTACAAACTCAACATGCTGGTCTGTCATATCATGATGAACAAGATTTACATAGGAACTTGTGTCCGAAAATTAAAACTGAGACCGCTAGAGGGCGATAAGTGCAGGTTTGGATGAGGAGAAAAAAAATGATATCGATAGCGGTGTTAATATGATTTTTATTATAAAACATCATTACATCACAGCAAATGCTCAAAATTCCTTCCATTCGCCACAATGCACGTTTCACAGCGTCGGCGCATGGATTCACGAACCCGTTCAAATTGGCCAGGAGTGTCACGGACACGTGCTGCCGCTTCCGCGATCCTGGCGATAAGATCCATGTCCGATGTTACAGGTGTCTCGTACACTATGGACTTCATGTGTCCCCACAGGTAGAAATCCAGGGGAGTCAGGTCGGGGGATCGCGGCGGCCATGGGACTGGTCCGCCTCTACCGATCCAGCGATTAGGATAAATCCTATCGAGGTATTCTCGAACAGCGTAGCTAAAGTGGGCAGGCGCTCCATCATGCTGAAACCAGATGTTTCGGCGTGTAGCGGCTGGAACGTCACCCATCAGATCCGGCAAAACTCTTTCTAAAAAATGCGATAGGTATTTCCGTCGAGGCGTTCAGGTAGAAGGTAAGGGCCAATCAACATGTCACCGATAATACCAGCCCAAACGTTTACGCTGAAACGTTGTTGATGTGCATGGGCACGTGTACATCTTGGGTTTTCATGCGCCCATACGTGCATGTTGTGCAGGTTCACGACACCATCCCGTGTAAAGCAGGATTCATCAGAAAACAAAATCCATGATGGAAAATCTGGCTGTGCGACCCGCTGTTGCAAATACCAGCGTGAGAATGCAATGCGTTTGGGATAATCGTCAGCGCACAATGCCTGTACTTTTTGGAAGTGGTAAGGGTGTTGCATGTCATCGTGCAGTATGCGCATTATGGTGGAACGAGCTACACCCAAGACACGTTCGCCTTCTCGGAGACTTCTTTGCGGGTTGATGGCATACTCCTGTAGCACGGTTTCCTCTACGACAGGTGTGCGTGTAGCACGTTCTCGACCGATGTGGCTACGTGCTACGAAAGCACCTGATTCACATAATCTGCGGTGCAATCGTCCAAACAAAACATGACTTGGCTGACGTCTGTTTGGGAAGCGCTCAAGGTACGTCCGTGCCGCGGCTCGTCCATTTCCATCAGCGGCGCCGTATACGTAATGCATGTCGGCCATTTCTGCGTTACTAAACTCATTCATCATTCTCCTTCAACGTCCACGCCTGAAATGATTGTTTTTCCCACTCTCCCGTTTTCGTGCAATTATCGCACTCTAGCGGTCGCAGTTTTAATTTTCGGACACAAGTTCCTATGTAAATCTTGTTCATCATGATATGACAGACCAGCATGTTAAGTTTGTAAACGATCTTTTGGGACACCCTGTATAAAAAAATTTTATTTCCACACTTATTTTATGAATAAATAATTTTTACAGAATGGTCTGATTAATTCTATGATTTACTTATGCTCCTGCATTACACTATTTCTTTCCGGATATGCATCAGATTATTTGCGAACGAAGAAACATTACTCAGCAACTAAAGTCAGGAAAAGCTTTCAGCTGTTTGGTAAGTGGATGTAACATTATTTTAATGACGCGAAAGGAATTTAAAATTTGATTTTATAAATAATCTTGTAAATAATGAAATTCATTCATTTTCTTTACGAAATAGCGATTTCCCGAGTATCCGAAACTAAACCAAACGGTTCAAAAATATAAATTATTAAAAAAGGGAGACAAGAATGTACTGTTTGCTGCGTTCTGCTTAGGAAACTAGTTATAGTATTATCTTTAATTTGTTTCGAAATTAGTTATAAAGTTTATCTAAAGATGGCGCTGCTAATTGGAAAAAACTATAAGATCGGTTCTTTTTTATTTACGTCCCACTAGAGCTGCACAACTGGCTATTGGCGACAGTCTGGGGAACAACATACATACGTCACATCCAGAGACAACATACATAGGTCACATCCCGTTTTACATAAAAGTCACATTCACACACCATTGATCCGCCCGAAAATCGTAATTTTGACTTGAACAAGAGCACGATCAATCTCCGATCCCGATTTGTTATATGAACTAGGAAGACTCTGTGACCTCGACAGATTTGGCGTACATCAGTCATCATTTTGTACACCGGTAGTCTTCGTCTCGGCCGGCGGGAATGAAACTCACGACCTTTCGGACATGGACAGAAAACCGTAAGAAGTTCACGTACACTCGATTAAAAATTAAGAGTTTAAAGGGTCTAAAATAAGACGCCCGGGCTGAGTGGTAGCGCTTCGCGCTCTGGTGCCACAGGTCCTGGGTTCGATCCTTGGGTCGGGTAAGGTTGATTCAGCCTTTCATTCCTTCAGTGGGTCGATAAATGAGTACGAAGCATGCTTGGGAACTAAACACTGGGGGTTCCGAGATCGGCTGACCACCTAACCGGAACATCTGCTCTTGCATCCCAGAGCCCAAGGTCAAGAACACTGAGATGGGCACAGTAGGCCTTCTATGGCCCTACCTGTTGGCCCTCTATGGGTTGTCGCGTCACTGAGTTTAGTTTTTTTAGTTTAGGTCTAACATAGAGCAAAAAAATATTTATAAATAAGTCATTTGCACCATTTATTAATTAACCTTGTTACTAATTTTTAAACTTGGTGAGAATAAAGTATCTACTTTCTTATTCTTCTTTAACAGAAAGCAATAAATCGTTTATTTCGATCTCTTTCATTTTAGATTTTAGTGACTTTTCAAATCGACAGTCATTTTGATACCAGGTGTAAATTCATCAATATTTATACACATACATACATTTTTTTTTACAAATGTTACAATGATGATAAGACCATCATCGTGCTAAACAAATCACTTTCTTCGTAAACTTATTAAATTTTCCCTAGACTAAAACAAAGTATTATAACATATCGAAACCACTGAAAACTTTTAAAACTACTAAAAAGGTGCTGCTGAACTATCAGGTGTGCACCTTTTTTCATGGAGATAAGAGTATCAATCTGCGCATCCAAAGGTTCCAGGTTCGATAGTTGCCGGCGGCCAACAAACATCTCTCTCCCCGACCTTAACAGTACTTTAATGAGAACACTTTAAAGAAGAACTTGGAAAGCAGTTTCACTCAGGGGATAGAGCGTTCTCCTTCCAATGAGGTGAACCGGGGTTCGATCCCGGCGATGGCAGGTCGATACGAATTCCGCATCGGTATTGCACCGACCACTGTGCTGACGTGAAATATCCTCAGTAGGTTAGAGTCCCCTTGCCGTCAGGCTAACCGTGGGAGGTTCTCGTGGTCTTCCTCTCCATGTAACGCAAATGCGGGTTAGTTCCATCAAAAAAAAGTCCTCCATGAAGTAGACAATGAAGAAAAATTAGTAAAAAAAAATTGAAAAAACATTGATAAAAATTTATGACAATCAAAGCTGGCGTCATCAGGGGGTACTAGCTTTGAATTGTCATAAAATGCAAAACTTTTTCTATCAAGAAAGCAAGACAAAAGTCAAAAATTCGCTTTCTCTGTACCCCTAGGAACCTCTGGATTTGTTTCAAAATTACAAGGCTACGGAGTTGAACATTAGTAGTCGTAAACCCAAAAATTGGGTCGGCTGTTCAATGACGGTTATACAAAAAAAAAAATTTAAAAATAACAAAACCTCAATTAAAGAAATATTAATTAATTAAATAGAAAAAGCAAATTGAAACACGTGATTTTTAATATTTAAAAACTGAATTTAAACATAATAATTTTTTACGATTTAATTGTTTCTATTAGACTTAATAAAAAGCTAAGACTTTTGTAAATTTTCTAGACTTTAAGAATGCTCCATGATTTTAAATGCAAGGTCGTAGAAATGTGCATCAGTAAGTTCTGAGGGAAAAAAAACATTTAAAATTATCTTAAAAAATAATCTGTTTTCTTTCTTTCTATTTTTTCAGCAATGATGGGTCCAGCAACGTGTATGACTTTGATACCTCTAATGGGCTGTAACCATGTCATGGTTATTTTTCTTTTAACTGCAGCCATGGGTTTTCAGGGTCTTGGTGGCGGTGGTGTGAATTCCATTACCACTGACATTGCTCCTCATCATTCTGGTAATTACAATTTGAAATAAACATATAGTCTTTGAAGTGCAGAAGCCATAAGTTTTCAAGACTTTGGTATAGCGGTGCATTAGTTCGACTACAACTGCCATATCTTCTTAATAATCTGATAAAAGTTTCAAATAAATAAACATATAGTCTTTAAAAAGCAGCGGCCATCTGTTTTCAGGATAAAGTGTATATAATGGTATTTCCAACACACCTGACATGTCTCCTAATCATTCTGGAAACTGAAGTTTAAAATAAATTTAAAAAAATAGTCTTTAAAATGGTGATAATGGGTTTTCAGGTCTTGGTGTCGATGGCGGTATCTCCAATGCAGATATCATGCTTCGTTATCATTCTGGTAATTTAAATTTGAAATTTATTTTAAAGTTAATAATTAATACTAGTGGGCTGCGCCACCTGCTCGCTAACGCTCGCCAACCCCTTAAAATTGCTACGCAATCTTATATGGTTTGCTTCGCAAACCAAGCTCGCTTCGCTCGCTACTAACTTAGGTACATTGCAAATGCACAAAATTCTAAGAATTCAAAACAATCATTCAAATCCATATAGCAACCTTTTTTTTATTTTTTTAAATTGCATCTTTTTAATAAATACTAAGTCATTAAAATAAATTTGAATTCAAGTAAATAACATGTAATTCGTTAAACCTATTAGAAATGTGCTATAGTATAAAATCTTAAGGCGTAGCAGCACGATTGAGACTCATTTTTCAATGAATAACTAATAACAATAATAAAACAAATAAATTCGTGATATAAATCAAAAATCGTCAAATAAATTAGTAATATATAAACTCGTGAAAAAAGCGCTTTCGACAAAATACTAAAATAGAGATCTATCGACAAAGACTACTCATTTCTGCCTAGCTTAATAGTATGAGATGGCCGCAGCTAATAGGGTGAATTTTGGAAGAGTTCACATTTGGTGAGAACTAGTTATTTCAGTTTCCGTTTTTAAAAGCGCTGTACGTTGAGCCACCTCAGCTAGATTTGGCATGTTACATTTTTAGCGGCAATCATTGGTCGATTTTCTAGCGTTGCCATTCTGGGAGTAGTAATGGGGCTTTTTTTTGTTGCCGTGTAAGAGAAATATATATAGAGATATTTTAAGAGTAAAAACGTACATTTCAAAATTCAGTTCTCTAACATTTCTGTATAAGAGCTTCATTAGAAAATTATTGTTATGGATGGAGTAATATTTAAAATTTTTGTTTATCAAAGAAATTGACTAGCATTTAAAGTCCACAAACAATAATTGTACCAATTAAATTATTTAAAAAAATTGGTCTAACTGTCACGAAAACGCTATTTTTGGTATCTAGTTTTTGAAGTTTACAAAGGCACTTTATTCCATCATCAGAGCGACAACGCAGCAAAAAGCATTGGTTTGAAGCATTTTATAAATACGTTTTTTTTTTCAAATTTTCGAAGTAATAATTTTATTCCAAAAAAGTATTATCATAGCTAATACTCATTTATAGAAAATAAACTCTTTCAGTACATCATAGATATTAAATAAATTACTCCAAGATAGTTAAATGGAAAGATATTTTACAAAACTTACAACAAAGATACAAAACTTAGTTATCCTCAAAATGACAACAGATTGTAATTTTTGTAAAAAACTGGCATGAACCTTTCATTCAATAATAAATGAGATGCAGACACTGAGGTTGGACGGAGTCTCCCAGTTATTTAAGAAAAAATTATTTAAGTTTATTTTTAATGTTCATTAGGCTTCAAAATTATCTTTAAACATTCTAAAAATTCAACGTAAGGAATATGTTAATGAAATATAATATTTTACCCAGGTATATATTCCGTTTGTATAATGTTTTTAATTATCTACTTTTTATAAGCTACTGAAACGGAATTTTCGCATTACTGGGATAAACGCGGATAATTTAAAAATAATGTTTGTTAATTTTCGAATTTAATGTAATATCAAATGTCTCTACTGATCAACAATTTATGACTAAATTTAGAATTATTTTCAAATTGCAGCAACACTTTTTGGATTGGTCAATAGCCTTGGTTGTATATCTGGTATATTTGCACCTATGGTTGCAGGAGTTCTTCTTGAAGAAGAAGTAAGTAAAATCACATATAACCTTGGATTAAATTAAGAGTATAACACCAACAGTGCTTTAAAAAAACTCTTATTAATGCACAAACAATGAAAATCTTAAATAATTTTTATAATAAGAGATAAAAATTACGAAAATAAATAAATTAAGATAAATAGAGATAAATTATGAAATTAATTTCATTTTTTATACTAAGAAAATTATATTTGTACATCTGTTTACCATTTCTATACATAAATTTTCAATTTCTTATAAATATAAATTCAACATAAAACATTTTTTTAAACGTTACTGGTACCATAATTGATCATTAATATATTATAAATGCACATTTTTAATTTCTTAGAAACTTATATTCATATTGATTGCTTTTCTTTTTTTTAAAACTTTATTTAGCATTCCAGTATTCAACAGTGGGGTTCAGTTTTTTACATATCAGCAGGACTCAATGTCATAGGTGGCATAGTTTTCCTGTTATTTGCTTCATCAGAGAGGCAGCCTTGGGCATGCTTACCTGTCACTGAAAAAATTTTAAATCCTAATAAGAAGAAGGAGCATTTGAACATTAACAGCAATGAAGATCTGGATAGCAACTCAAAATATGGTGCCATATATTGAGAAATTTTCACCCAACCATCCATCATCAGTTTCTGTAAGGTTTACAAAAGAACAGAAAACAACAAAACAAAAACAGAACAAAACAGAAATTTTACCTTAACCATTTTCAGTTTCTACAGAGTATTAAAAAAACTGATGGTCAAAAACGCAAAAAGTGATAGAACTGGCCAAAACAAACAGAAATTTTCCCCCTCGACATCTTCAGTTCTTACAAGGTGCAACAAAACTAATGGTCGAAACTTTAAATGTATTTAAACTTACTAAAACAAATAACTTTCACAATGCAATGTAGGATCTGTGTGAGTCGAAATATGGAGTCTAGTTGGTGAAAATAAAGAATGTTATTAAGAAGGATGATTAGGAAATCTTTATTGTTGAAAACTTGGCAACAAATACTCGGAACACCAGCTTCTCAGACCTTACATTGCGAACGAAGTTCATCATGCAAACGTTGAAAGATATTTGCATTTCACTAGACTTACATCTGCAAATACGATGGTAAATTATGGGCGACAATGACCTCTGCTGAACCAGTGGGCATCTCGTAAATAATGCTTATGTCTCCTAAGAAAAATTTTTGACTTGACAGATCGGAAGGACTGGGTAGCTGAAATACCAATTCATCGTGGACAAATCATCTGTTCCAAAAAGCATTGTCTAAATAGTTTCACCAAGCAAGAGCACTCTCTTGGCTCGTCCTTTACTTTCCGACCCTACATTCCATGGTGAAAGCAGATTGTGAAAAGTGTCAAAACTCCTACCAAATGTGACTATTAGTTTAAGAGATATTTCCATCTAAAATCTGAATCTTTTTTTAAAAAAATTTATGTAAAAATTTGCTTGATGGTAATTACGTCTTCTACCGTTCAGTGATTTTTTTTCTATAGTTTCTCGCGTGCCATTGCCCGAAAATCACCAAAACTTGTCGATTATTGTGGCAACGGTACCAAGATAAAGGAATTATCTTGGTACCTGGTATTACATAAGATTTGTGGCAAAGGTACCAAGATCTTTCCTTTTTACAGTTTTATGTTTCACATTGTACATCATTATTGTAAATTCATTATTTAATAAATTTGTAAGTTCTTTTTTTAATTTCATATCTCTTCTCAAATCAATTTAATTAGTGTGGAGACTCTGAATACTAGAGTTCATATGCGAACCTTAACAGCCAACGGTTGCTACGAATAATAAAAACTGAAATTACGAAAAAAATATTTGACTCTGAAAATGTTGAAAAAGGAACTAGTGGCATTGCATATCATATCCTTAGAATACCATAAGAGAAACTTCATCAAGTGTGTAATGCCATTGACCCTTTGCCTGCCGCGGAAAATAACGCCTAATGCATTTCTTAAAGCTGTTTTTTGAAGGCTCTGTCGTAAAATGCTTCTTTTTGCGAATAACATGCTGTTTTTATAACTGCTGTGAGTTTGCTACTGTTACTTATGACTGTTAGGTCAAGTTTAGCCAATCTAAAGCCAGCGCTGTCTACGATTTTGAAAATAACGTAAAACGTCAGGATGGAAAAAAGCCACAGTTTTGTGAAAATGAAAAGCGTTTTATTGTCTAATATTTAAAAACTTACTCCTATACTGCATTACCTGGGCTCTTAAAGATTTGCAAAAACTGTGAATAGGGCAGTGATTTTGATAATTTTAATCTAGGTGGGGAAATGTCACCAAATTGGAGATTTTTAAATAAAAGTTTAATATCCTTTAGAATATTTAAGTTATTTGTTTGCTCTAAAGCCCAAATAATTCTTCGCGGCAAGATTATAAATATAGTTTAAAATCATTGCATTGCTTCATGTGTAAGACACTTTAACTATGGCTTTATTATTTACCTTGGCGACAGAGCTTCGAAAACAGAAAAATATATCTCTCTATATATGCTAGTCCTTCCCCCCCAATAAATTGGTGGCACATATCGATTTAAAGCTGGGTAGGTTTCAAGCCGTTGAAACGGATAAAAACTCTAAGCCATCACAATGATAGCTCAGTGCACTAATCACTGTACAATCCCAGCTCACTATTAATACCAAAAAAAAAATGGGCAATAAAGATTACTAATATTCATTAATTCAGTTTAGTGAACATTTTATTAAAATTCACATCTCTTTTGTTGAATGGTACGATTTTAAGATTCTAAAAACAATTTCACCCACAAATACCAAATGAAAATCTCTAAAGCCATAAAGTAATTTAATTACAATTTCTTTTCATTATAATAATTAATTGCAAGAACTTATTTATTCAACGCTGCATACAGCTGTTGTAGTCAAGTGATTTAAATATGAATTTATTCAAGTTCATAATTACATCCAGCTGAATGAAATATATCTTATTTTAATAAAAAGTAACAGCTTAAAAGTAACACTAATAATTTATTTAGCTACAGCAGCATTGGCTGGTTGATACTAATTCTGCTCTTGCACTGACACTGGACTGACATAAAATATCCTCAATGGTAGATTAATCAAGGGTTCCTTGCCATCCAGCAACCCGTGGTAGGTTTTTTTCTTCATGTAACGCAAATGCGGGTTCGTTCCATCAAAAAGTCTTCCACAAAGGCTAGTAGGCTTATTCCAGGAGTTCTCCTGTTTTCTGGATTGGGTTCAAAATTACAAGGCTACGGATTTGAACATCGATAGTAGTAAGCTCAGAATCGGGGTAGGCTGTTCAATGCCAGTTATAAAAAAAATTACTATCTGCCTTTATATAGTTGAACCGACTATACAGTATCGTGTATAGGTCAACAGAAAAATTCTTTAATAATCAATATCAATTGTACATATAATTAGAGCTTATAAGAAACTGCTGAACAAGATATTTTAATATAATATTCTTTATTTCTTAAACATATTCATACATTTAGAAATCTATCACAGATAACACTGATATTACTTTATAAATATCTTTTAATAATGACTAGATGCAAAATACAGGACACTGAAATGCAATGAAGTAAATTCATTTTATGTTTTCAAATATATCTTCCATTAAAATTTAACATCCTTACATTATTTTAACTAGTTTTATAATTAGTTTGATTCTTCGCTTAAAAATTAGTACTTTTTCAACTTTAACTACAGATTTTTCTTTTTTAAAAGTTCAGAAAAGTCTTTTTTAAAGTTAGAGAGTATCATTACATCCAATTTTTTTCTATAACTACAGAAACAATTAAGTAATAAGTCTGCCATTTTCATAGAACTATCTTATTTTTCCATTTTCTACAAACAGATTCACATCAAGTCGGACATTAAGGTAAAAATAAAAAAATTAACAGTGTCAATTGTACGAAAAAACAAAAGATTAATATTTTATAAGGAAAGCTGTTTATCAAAACAGCATATAACAGTTGAAACATCATTTTAAATCAAAGTATGTTAAAATAAATACATAAAGAATTACGACAACTGGTTTACAACATAAAACATTGTCAAGAAATAATTTAAACTTAATTAGGAAAAATTCTCTGAAATAAGATATTAAAAGATATTAACACACTAAAAAATATATCTTAAACTTTTTAGTTTCTAAATTACAGAACAATAAAAAATTTTCTTTCATATTTTAAAATTTATCTGTGAATATAACGTGAAGATTTCTATTTTTTTAATTCAAGTAACAATAATAATAACAATAATTAAAATAACAATTATTTATTATTTTTTCAATTAAAAGAAATTAACAAAGGGTGAAGAAAAAATGCAATATTGAAAAAATATCTTTTCAAGTGGGTATTTCTGCATCTACAGCTAAAATAAAACAAATTATGTTTTAGCAATGCTATTTTTAGCCAACTATGAGATATCGGTACTTCACATCAATCATTTTCAGCAAAACCAAAAAATAATACCCAACAACATGATTTTTTTTCCAACAACAGAAAAGTAACAACCGTGTTTTTGGTATATAGTTCTTCATTGTGGTAAAAAATCCTGTTTTGGAGCCTTTCTTTGGTTTTGCTGAAATTGTCTACAGGATTTTACACCAGTATGAAATTTTTTCAACTTTTACAAACTAACCGACTCACACCAAATAGGACATTAAGGTAAGTAAATAAATAAACATCAATGACAATCCCTAGTTTAAGTTAACATTGTTAACTATTGACTGATTTTAAAGATGGTATATAACAAAATTATTACTCGAAAAGAACAATTTAACAACATTAATAAACATGCACTTAGAAAAAGCTTTAAAAATGCAATAATTCTTATTTTCAAGGTCTTATTCTTAAGACTCCTAAATTCTAAAACATATACTAAAACAATTAAGTAAATAACGTACAATTAATTCTCACAGTTAAAAGTAAAATAATTATTTTGTTAGTTGCAATAATTATTTAATATTAATGAAGTTAAATATTTTTGATACATGATTTTATATCAATAACAAAAACTGAAGTCTAATTTAAAATTCATTAGCTTGCGAAAGGCAATACAATGAAATTCAACAAATCTTGACATTTATTAAAGCTTCGAAAATAAAATAAATATTTACCTAACTTTCATTCAGGTATCTTAAGTATTTATAATTAAAAAATAATAAATCCACAACATTTAAGAGGGTAGAAGGAAAAAAACTTCTGCATCAAACAATGTTCTTTTAAATTGTTTGGTATATAAAAAACATTACAGGAACTGTAACCATAATTTAATATCTTATCTGTTAGTAATGCAAAAAATAATCAACTAAAATATTTTTTTTTAATTTAAATTATTGTAATTATAATTTTTTTATTTAAATTAGTTCTGAAGTCACACAATCTGAAATCCCACAAACTGAAAAGTTCTCCCCCTAATATTAAAATAAACATATTAAACATTAAAATAAATAAACTTAAATTATGGAAAATGGACCATGAATAAATGATATAAGTTAATATGGTGAACAATAAGATGCTTCAAAACATTAAACAAAATTTTAAAAATCTATAGTAAAAACAAAACAACAAAACAAATTAATATTTAGAAATTAACGAACTGTAACTGAATCCTAACAATGAAAAAAATCACTTAATATGGAGATTTTAAACACTTTTTCATAGTTTGAAAACAATGAAAAAACTTGACAATATCAGCAAAACATAATGATAAAATAACACACAAAAAATTTTTAAAAATACATATGCATGTTTAAATGGCAGAGGTCAAGAAAACAAATATAAAAATTAGGAGTCCTATAAAAATGAACATAAAATGTAAGGATAAAATAATGAAACATTGAATTTCTTCTTTGTCATTTTAAAAGTCAAATATAAAGCCAAAAGTAAGGAAGTTTATATTTTTGCAGAGTGCATTTTTAAATTAAATTTCTGGTATATGTTGTCTATGATAAATTTAAACTGCAATCAAACATGAGTCAAAAAGATAACTTGTAAGTAATTTTATTCAAATAAATTCTATTAATTAATAAAGTTTATGAAAAAGTATATACAAATATATAGATTAAAAGCCAATGAAATTTTAATGTAGCTAATTTTATTTTCTTCAAATATTTGTTAAATGATATTTTTAATAATAAACTAATTATTGTTGAATATTTGTTAGTTTGTTTATTAAACATATAGAGAGACATTTTCTTAAAACTAACTGAGGATTATAAAACCAAGAAAATTAAATTAAACAGAGAGACAGTTAGGAACAAAGAAGTCAGGTAATATTGACACAAATTTAATAAGCTAATTTAAAATTTAAATACATAAAGTAAAGGATCTAAAACAATTTTATTACATTATTAACATCTCTTAAAAAGCTGTGGCACTTTTCAATCCTCAACTTTAAATAGTATAATATTAAGATAATGCATAAATGATACAAACTGAATATAATTAATAAACTGCTGAAGTTCATCAGAAGCAGTACTAAACACTTGAAAGCATTTTGTATCAATTTTTTTTAAATTCAGTTGTTATTCAAAAGTAAAAAGTATAAAACCATAAAATAACAAAAGTCATTTGAAACATTATTACAATATGCAATATTATTACTTGCTAAAATAATATGCATATCTCAGAAATTAGGTGCAGTGGCTATTCAAGTGAAAAACAAGATTCTGAGCATAAAAATATCACATTTTGTTTGATAAAACACAAAGTTTTAATTTATTATTATACCCCTCAATCTTTTAGAAATCGTTTTAATTAAATGCCTTTTAATTTTAAATCCTTCAATGGCATTAAAACTTCCAAGATATTTTTTGAATGGTGAAATATTTCACTACAAAATTAGTCAAATTTCGTTAGTTATCAGTTGTTATTTCAATATAAATATTTTATATTAAAAAAAAAAGACTAAAACATATACAGAGTGATCATGAAATAACAAAAGTGGTTTGAATCATTATTTCAATAAATCAAATTGCTAAAATATTATGCATATCTCAGACATTAGGTCTAGTGGTCACCTAGGTGAAAAACAAGATTCTGAGAATAAAAACATGTTTTGTTTAGTAAAACATGACATTCTTATGCCCCTCATTTTTTCTTTAATTTAATGCCTTTTAATTTTATATCCCTCAATGGGTATAAAACTTCCATAAGTTTTTTAAAAAATGAAATATTTCACTACAAAATAAGTCAAATTTCGTTAGTTATCAGTTGTTATTTCAATATAAATATTTTATATTAAAAAAGAAAGAGAATAAAACATATACAGAGTGATCATGAAATAACAAAAGGGCTTTGAATTATTATTTCAATAAATCAAATTGCTAAAATATTATGCATATCTCAGACATTAAGTCTAGTGGTCACCTAGGTGAAAAACAAGATTCTGAGAATAAAAACATGTTTTGTTTAATAAAACATGACATTCTTATGCCCCTCATTTTTTCTTTAATTTAATGCCTTTTAATTTTATATAACTTCCATAATTTTTTTAAAAATGAAATATTTCACTACAAAATTAGTCAAATTTAACCTGGCTGTATATGAGTAGTAGGGCCCATTGATATTTTATAATCACACATTATAAAAACATGTGTATAAAAAGCAATAAATTGAAGTATTCCAATTAAAATTGCAGTTTAGTACAATTTTTATTTCAGGGCACAGAGAACATTCCTAACGATGCCATACAAATAGCTATTCAAATATTTCAATCTGAACATTAAAAGCACCTCATGAATGTACTGCACATTCAACACCAGCACATGAAATCAAAATTTAATACTCGAAATATTGAACTCTTCACGGCAAATCCTAGGAAAATGCAAACATTTATTTTAAAACAGTAGTTTCATTATCATAAACACCAATTTGCAAGCAGCTATTTTTTAAACTCCACTGCAAGCATATTTTTTCTCCTTTCTTAACACAGACATCGTCTTCCAAAAGGCAAGCGGCTTGCTTGAATAAGCCATTTGGATCAGATGTATTAACATAAATACCTGAATGGTACTTAAGTCCGAACCAATAAACAATGGCAGTGATTTTGCCATCCTCTGTAATTTCAACTTCTGTTGTTTTCTGGCTTTCAATGATGCTGGACTTAGACCCATTTTCAGTTGAATTCATGTTAATTTGGTGCAGTTTGGTAGGTTGACTTAGGCTTCTATGAGGCAAAGTAGACAGTTGTATATCCTGATGGATTCGACACTATAAGAAAAATAAGAATAATAAATCAATAAAATACAAATGAAATAACCAAAATGTCATTCAAAGAAATACTTATTTATTAAGCTATATACATTGAGGTTATATGCTGCATTGCACTCATGAAATATTTCACTAAGCAAGAAAATGATAAATAATTGCACGAATACAATATATTTGCATTCGTGTAGAACATTCTAGAAGAAATCAAAAGTTCCTTCACCAATAACAATAATGAAGACCCTGATATTAAAAGTTACCTATAAAATGTTTTTAATGTTGTTTACCTTTAACCTTTTAATTTCATATGACATGATTAATGCTTGTTATGCACGGCGAAAGTAGAGGTAAGACCTTCAAAAATGAAAAACTTTAAAACATTATGAATTTATTTATAAATTTCATTTATTAAAACATAATTCCATACAAATAAATAGATCATCATCATCATTGTTGGCCATACAGCCCAATGTGAGCCAATGCCTTCCTTTGAAGATTTCTCCATGAATACTTCCGATCTATCTTTGATCTCCAATTCTTTTCATTACAAATAAATAGATATTACTAATAATTTGCTATGTTTTATTATTTGGTTCCATAAAAAAGAAAACAAAAAAATATATAATTGTAAAATATGCAAATTTTAACATATTATAAAATAATGCAATATATAATAATGAAATCTAAAATTTAAACAAAATCAGATTTAAATAGCTGATAAGAAAGAGTAAATATAAAGAATTCTTTAATTGAATTTTATTTTTAAGGCAAATGCAATTGATTTATAATTATTCTCTTAACTAGGTTTTTAACACATACATATTAATACTCAATATTTAATGCAAACAAAATAGTAAATATGTTGCTTTGCAATTCATTATTTCATTTAGCATAATTCATAGTAAAATTAATTATTATAGACACTCATAACACATCTAGTATGTACACATTAATGGAAATTATCAAAACATTTGTATTTATTGGCTTGTTTTAATTTATTTTTCCATGCAGCAACGATTGTACCATATTATATACCATATTATAAAGAGACCTTGAAAACAAATTGAATGTTTGAGGAGCTCTAAACAGAGCATAAATTGATTTAAATTTGCTCATCAAAGCAAGATGTTAACTTAAATATGTGTATTGAACAAAAGAAAACAAAAATATGCCCAGAATTTTTCTTAGACTACCTTAAAAATATGGGTGATTACATTTATCAATAACACCCATTAAATAAACAAAAAAATTGCTATTTTAAATTTATAAACCTATTTTGATACATAAACATACTAATAAAAGCTACATCTAAATAAATATCCCATCTTAAAATTATTATTAAATTCATAAAAACTTGTATTAAAAGTCACATATAAAGTGTTTAGTTTCTTGGCAAATTTACGAACTGCATAAATAATATCAAATACCTGATAAGCATTTATAACTTGAGAAATTTTGTAGCCTGCAACTTTTTCATCAGATACCAGTTTCGAGTATTCCTTTAAAGTTTCACTTTCAACAAGAATAGCGTGTAATTCCAATTCTCCAGGAACAACTACTCCAGTGCTTTTCAAACATTGCAATCTTGAAAAAAATATACACAATAATGTAAAATAATTCAAATTTCTAAATTATAAAATTATCAAAGCGCAACAAATACCTTATACCTACAGTTACAAAGCAATAACAGAAATGCAAATTTCAGTAACTAACTTTTATAACTTTAATTTAAAAAAAGTGCTGTTATAATTCAGAAAAACAAATTATTTCATGTCATCGCTACAAATATTCTAAACATATTAAACTATTATGTATGATATACAGCCAAATGATAAGAACTTTTGGTATTTTTTTATTTTATTTTTTATTATTAAGGTGTAAATCACTTGACCAAAACTGACAATATGTAGCAGATAAAATTCATATGAAAAATGTTTAAAAACAAAATAGTTCCAACAAAATAGTTTTATTAATCAGTTTATAATATAGGATGATAACTAGTATAGGTAAATTTTTTATACTACCTAAAATAATGTATTGTTGTCATATATAACAACAGGACAAAAGTGACCAACTCCCATGAACATTACAGATAGAAAAAAAAAATTTTAATCAAATAATTTCTCCAATGAAAAGTATTGCTCAAAAATTTCAAGCAAAAATGCAAAATTAATCCTTAAATTTTAGTCAGGTTAAAATGTTCATATTTTTGGGTTAAGAAGTAGTGCTTGATTTAAAAACTGACAATTAATCCTCAGAAAACAAGCTAAATATTCATAAAAGAAAAAAGATGTCTCCCCATGAAGTTGAAATGTAACACAAATTCAGAACGAGTTGAACATTCCTTTTTAATATTGATATTATTATTGATGACGTTTTTCATAGAAAGGTCTTGAGAAGTATATTTGGAGGAATTCAAAAAAATGGTGCGCGGCTTAGAAGAACAAATTAGTTACACTCATATAATTAACCTGGTATTATTAACTTTATTTAAAAGACAAAGAATAAAATGGGCTTGCCAAGTTATCATAATGGATGAAGATCGTACCACAAAAAGAGTTTTCAATGCCAAACCAATTGGCACACTAAAAAGAGGCAGGCCGAATTTGAGATAGATAGATGGCCTAGAAAAAGACCTTTTGGTCTTAAAAACTAAAAATTTAAAAATGCTAGTAGGAAAATGCTTAGCCTGGAAAAAACTTCTTGAGAAGGACAAGGCCCACCCTGGGCTGTTGAGCCATTGATGATGATGACTTTTTCATTCTGTTGAAAATTGGTGCAACAAAGAACCAATGCAACAGTTCAAAGCAATTTACTAATTTATGATATACTGTTCAGAAATAAAAAAATAAAGCTAGGACATTATGATTTTTTAAGTATGTATAAATTTTCAGGATTTTTTTCATGAACTAATTTTTATGAGCACTCGGCTATAATGAGGTTGTTGCGGTCCTATCACATTCATTCTTAGTGAATTCTACTGTATACATAAGTTAATAATTTAGAGATTCATTTAACAAAAAAAGATTATATTAAGCAAGAATAAATAATAACATAAAATTTTGGAACATTAAAAATAGCTACATAAATGATAAAAACATCAATATTAATTTCCTAAAAAAAAAACACCAATTACAATTTTAGTGCATAAATTAAAGAAAATGTACTAACCTCATAACACTAATGTCTTCCAGGACATTTTTCTTCAGCAGTCCACTTATTTCCACGGGATCAACAATTAGAAAGTCACTCTGCAGTTTTGTTCGGAAAAAATCTTCATAAGATTTAAAAACTACTTTGTTATAAGGAATGCCGTGCAGGGCACATATTTGTTCAACTTCAGACTGAAATGGACTCTTCAGCACAGTGAGTGTGTAAGAAGGGTTATTTATGAGCGATTTCAGACCTACAACTGGAAATGTAGAGATATCAAGAATCTCAGCATTGTCCATATTTGACATGTCACTCAGATTGAAATTGATGATATCACCCGCCATGTAAGAGTTCAACAAATATATTAGGTTTGGATCCATGGTTAATCTTTGATCAGATTGCATGCTCACAACACCTTCAGCTATTTTGATGTTTTTTAACTGCAAATGGCCTTTACATAGAAACTCTGCTTGTATATTATCTCCGATGTAACAATGAGATGAGCCTGAAAATTATTTTTACAAAAGTTAATATCTTAAGTAAGGGAATACAGCAAAATTAAGTATCTATGGAAAAAAAAGTGTAAAAATTATAAAATATATTTGTATTGATTTAAATTGAACTATTTATTCTTTAATTATGATAAAATAAGAACAATACAGTATGTATTATTGGAATAAAATTTATAAAATGTAATTTCCTGAAGGCGATTATATTTTAATAATAAGTGAGGCATTTGCCATAAGTGGTGTTCAAAAAAAATAATTATAACAATATATTTTTCTTCAATTCATTTTTAGTATTGAAACTTGCAAATTTTGTTTTCAATTACATCATATGAAACAGAAAAAAACACGTCATCTCCAAATTTTCAGGCACCCTACTTAATAAAAACTAAATAGTTCCATGTAAATCAAAATCTTCGAGTTAGAATTTAAGATTAATTCGAACATTTTCAAATGATTATTTGAAATGATTATTTAAAATGATTATTCAAATGAATGAACATTTTCAAATGATGTGCTCTTGAATGCTAAGTTCCTCACTTTTAAGGGCCACTGATGCTATGTACATAAACTATAGAATTAAGGCAATAGTATGAAATTTCAAGGGAAAAAAATTATTTCAGGAGGCCCAAATGATTTATTTTCATAGGGACACTGTAGGAAAAAATACTTAAAGGTTGCTTGCTGCAAAGTGAATTGACAGTTCCATTAACAGTTTCTATTTTTTAATAAGACAGTTTTTTTAAGTTTTTCTTTAAATTATACATCTAGAACAAGGTCACATTTAAGATAAACTAAACTAAACTCAGCCCATACAGGGCCAAGGTCTACTGTGCCCATCTCAGTTTTCTTGACCTTGGGCTCTGGGGTGCAGGAGCAGATGTTCCGGTTCGGTGGTCAGCCGAGCGCGGAACCCCCAGTGTTTAGTTCCCAAGATGAAAGGCTGAGTCGACCTTGTCCGGCCCGAGGATCGAACCAGGGACCTGTGGCACGACAGCGCGAAGCGCTAACGCTCAGCCAACGGGCGTCACACTTAAGATATGTTAACTCAAATATCTAATTTTTACTAAATAAATTATGCTTTTAATTTATAAACTTAAATTAAATTAATTTGTCTGTCGATTTAAATTAAACTGTTTTAAAAATATTAAAGATTCTTATAATAACTGAAAAAATAAAATGAACTGTGATTTTAACTATACAAATTTGTTGACATATTAGTATTAATAAATAAAACAAAAATAATTTTTTTACCATTAATATATTGAGGCAATGCATAAAATATAGCTTGCTCCCAGCAACATTCCTGAGATGAATCTCTTGGTGATGATGATATCATCTCTTCTTCATCCAAGTACAAATCAAACCACACCACAAATGCATCGACATTTCCATTTTTGGTGCACTTAAACTCAGGATTTAGCAACTTTCCTTGAAGCAATTCTTTGATACTCTGAAAGTTTAAAACTTTATCAGCCAGTGTAGCAATCAAAATTTAATTGAAAAGCAACAACAGAATTTGCAACCCCATTAAAAGTGAGTTAAGGTTAATTCCAAATTATCCTGTTTCTAGCAACATTAGGCTATTAAAAAAAATCAAAATTATTTTTTCAAATTTTATGAAACTGAAAATTGCTACATTGTTTGTGAGATCAAAACAGTTTGGTAATTTATTCATTTATGTTGGTAGAATTAAAATATAAAATCAAACATTGCTTTCGAATTTAATTGAATGGCATAAGATGTATTTACCTTATAAAATGGCACAATTGTTTTTTCAGATTAATTATTTTTTTAATTTTAAATAAACAGTACAGAAAGCATAAACTAGGTGATTGTTACTTCTTAAAATATGTAGTAAAAATATGTTGAGCAATATAAACAAAAAAAATGATTCATAGGTAATTATTTTTTTAAATACATATTTATTATTATCATTTAGTTGCTAAATATATACCAATTTTTCATCTAGCACCAAAATGTAAATTTAGTTCCTTAACTGACAATAAATTAGATCAAAGTTTCTTAAACTGTCGGTCAAGACACTGATGGGGATCATACGATCTACAACCAGAATTGTTAAAGATTTTAGAAATTTTTATATTTTTTTAAATTTATTATTACAATTTTACAATAACTAAGTATTTCACATAATGCATCAAAATTTACTCAAACAATTGAATTTATTTATATTGTATTATATTTTTAGGTTTGGTACTTTTATTTAAAATTTTAACATTGTTCTATAGGATTTGCACACTGTTTATGGTATCCCACAAAAATTTTGTACACACTAAGGGGCCTCCATTAACTGCATTAGACTAATTAAAATAAAGACTTTTCTGATTTTTATTCACGCAATGTTACTTAGTTAATAAAAAAAAATACATAACACATTGCTAAAAACAAAAAAAAATATCTTATCTTAGCTACTATAAACAAATACTCAATGCAATAAGTTCTTCATAGAATAAGAAAAGAACATCTTTAAGCACATCTTCAACAAAATATCAAACAGTAATTCACATTTTGTTGTAACCATCAAAAATATTTTTTACTCTCATTCCAATAACCATCATAAAATAATTAAATGTGAAATGTGAGATAATAAATATGAACATAAAACTAATAATTAATATGGTAACATTTTTTTTCTTTTGCCAAACAGACTTGTGATTTAAAATAAATCTGATTAAAAAAAAAATTCAAAAATATGATAGAAAGAAAGTAAAATACTGATTAACTAGATCATTACAGTGAAAAAATTTATGTTGAATTATTTAAATATGATTCTGATTGCAGAGCTAAAGCCTTGATAGCTGTTACCTAGAACAGCTATTTGTTACAGAAGGTATAAGCTTGAAATGCAATAAATAATATTTCTCTTCTGAAATAGACAAAAACCATTTACATCTGCATGTATAAGAACTATGCTATTTGATAACTTACAGAATACCATAATTTATGACAGAATAAATAGATCATCAGACTTAGTTTTAAAACATTAACCAAATTTAATATACTTAATTAGATACTTATTAATGCACCTAAGAGAGTAGGTTCATGACTTAAAATCCTCACAAAAACAAAAGAAAACCACAGAGAAAAATTATGCCATAGAGGAGATAATTTTTACAGATAATTTATCATATAACTAATGTAGAGATGTTACTAAATTATAGATAATTACTCTGGTAATTTAGTGTTCATACTGATAGCATAAAAAATAAATACTTGTATTACATATTTTCACGCTAAACAATCTATGAAAAAAGAAATACAACTTCTCAATTTTAAAAAACCACTTTAAAAAAATTTCCTCAGGGTGCATAGTCAGATTTTTCAACAAAAAATACATACCTTTTAAGTACTTTTTAAGCACTCAAAAATTATTTTTAATCACTTTCCAAAAAAAAAAGAATCATACTTAAGATCTATGCAGTCATAAAAATTATGTTCTTTATCACTTAAAGTTCTTAATTTATATACATTTATTGATTATAACTCAAAAACTTTACATAAATATGATAAAATAACTAGTTTCTGATAAATATTGCAGAGAAAATTGTGAAAATCATGCACTTTTTCCAAACCCTGAATGAAAAAAAGCATCTCTAAAGGCTTTTAAAAAGCATAAATAAAAAATAAGCACCTTTAAGCACTTTTTAAAAATGCTACACACCCTGTTCCTCTCTGAGCTACTTGCAAATCCTCATCACATCCATAAAAAAATAATTACCTGATATGAATTGAAGTTTGCTTCAACAATAGGAGCAGGTTCACTCAACATTTTGCAATTCTCTGATAAGTACTTTATTTTTTCAGTAGAATATGGTTCTTCATCAAGAAATTGTGGAATCACACAATCTTTAATTCCAAGCATATTCAACACAGCATCCTCTAGCCTATAAAGATATCAAAAACATGAAATAAAACAAAACTATAAAAGGATAGCAGCACAACAAATTATTCAAGGCTCATTGTCTCATAATGCTTTAATTAATAAGTTATTTCTAGCATACAAAATATGAGTAATTCATAATTAAAATAATACAAAATTCTTTAAAATAACACATTACATACTTAAAATTTTTTCTGAATTTCTCACATTCAACGGGTACAGCATACACAGTAGCACTATGTGGAATAATTTTCACTCTTGGTATTAATTCTTCCTTGGGCGATTCACTATTAGCTTGATTTTTATTAAGATTTCCTTCAACAACATCAGATGGTGACATGTCGGATGTCGAGTTACACTCCTCTTGTAATAAATGCTTCCATGCATGGCTCAGAGTTTCAAGACTATTTTCTCCAAAAAGACCAGCATCAAATATTTCTGTTACAATTAAATTTACCCTGAAAAATTATGCATTTTGTAAATATGCAACAAAAAAATTTCTGAAAAAGTACCTATGAACAAAATGAATATTATGTGCAAAAATGATGATATGTGTAAATAGTCGTTATTTAACTATGACATTGTCCTGCAATTTTATTATGGAGAAAAAAAACTTAAAATAGCTCATCTTTTAAATCAAAGGCCTCTTTTTCTAGTCATTCTTAATCAACAATAAATACAATGCTTTGAAAATTCTAATTAGAGCAAAAGAAAACACCTGTGTATAACAGTTAATACAACGCTTTGAAAATTCTAGTTATAGCAAAGGAAAACAGCTGCCTGCAGCAACAATACAATGCAATGAAAATTCTAGTTAGCAACTTTTGTTACACCCATAGAAATAATGGTACTTTAAGATGATCTCCATATTAATAGATTCTTCATTTTAAATATATCTCATTCATTTATCATTCAATTTAACTATCAATAATTTTCAAAATACACAAAAGCTAAAAGAATCTGAACATTCAAAAGTTTCAATATTCGTTTAGCATAGAAGTAAAATAAATTTTTTTTAAAAAATAGAATTGGAGAAAAAAATTTCTAAATTTAATTTTTGCATTTCAATAGCTTCATATCAATAAAAATTATTTAAATATTTTATACAAAACAAACATTTTTTTGAAACAACAGTGAGGAAAAACTAAAGAAGTTCAATAGACATTTATTCATAATTTTTTTAAAAAACAACATTTACAGAACTGTATATTACCTTTCAGGTATATCATCCGGTATGTTTAAATCAGTTGAGTGCTTTAAAAAAGCTTCAATAGGTTTATTATTCATTTTAATGACACTTTGTAATACTTCAAATAATATTTCACTTCCTTCGCAGGCATAAACTTTTTCTGCACCAGTATCAACAGCCATCATGCTGAAAAAAACATAAAAATTGTCTAAATAACAAAAAAAAGTGGTTTACAGATAGAATAGTTGCTGATTAACAAGCTGAATTATCCCTCACATTTTATTTTATGTGAGGACAATGATTAATAAATATATATACAGTAGTAACTTGATTATCTGAAATATTTTTATGTTACAAAAAAAAATTTTAATAGGAAAAAATATCAAGTTGTCTTTCACACAATAGGAGATTATTTGAACCAAAAATAACATCAATAAATTAGGTGGTAAATGAATACTATATCTATTATTTAATATGACTAAATCTAAAATTAGAAACTGAAAAGAGTGAATATTTATGACAATTAACTGCAATATGATGCAATATATAAAGAAATAACTATCATGATTATAAATGCTTCCATTCAGAAAATAAAAAGCAGTTATTCAGAAGAAAATGAGATTAGAAGGTAATTATTTAAAATAAAAATTAAAAAAAAAAAAAAAACAGAAGATTTAATCTAAAACTAAATGCATCTAAAGAAAGTTTTAGATTCATTCAAGTAAAAAAAAAACAATTATTATTAGTAATGTGAATTTGTTTCTGATATATTGTCGCCATTAAGCATTATTTACCTAAGGATACCTGTACCAGCTCCTATATCAAGCACTTGGTTGTAACCTTTTTCAACAGCTCGCTTTATTGCATGCTTGTATGCATTATTTCTGACACTATCATTCAGCATTACAAAATGCCATCTCTCCACCAAAGCATTTTTTAAATTTTCCATGCAATACAATGATGGGGTGAAAAAAGGATTGGCTTCATAGGATTTCAAAAAGTAAGAAAGAGAACATTCCACATAACCTAATCTGAAAAAGAAATAAAAGATTTCAAATGTATTTTTATTCTTTAGAATAAAAATATGTAAGAATTGATGAAAGACACAGATATGTGGAACAAAATGCATTAATGATTTTAAAAAAAATCTAATACATATTAAAAAAAATAACATAGGTCCTTTTTATTTTTCTTATAAAAAAAATTTTTTGCTTAACATGTAATGACTAATATAAAAATTATAGACGTAATAATAATTTCTGTTTCACAGATGTGTGGAACAAAATGTATGTATTAATTCGTAAATAATAATAATAATAAATGCAGGGGTTTGTCCAGGCCGAATTTACTACCGTTTAGCGGTACCTTCACAAATTCAATTTTAGGTGAAACGGTAGTTTCACAAATTCAACTTTAGGAAATACGGTAGTTTCACAAAATACTTTTTCTTAAAAAAAAATTTTTGTAAAGAAACGATAAATCTAAATTTTTACCATGTTTCTGTATTGATTTCTTAATATAATTTTTAATTTTTCACAAATTATGTCTAAATTTTCACAAAATAGGTATCCTTCAGAAAAACCTAGACAGATCCCTGAAATGTAAATTCAAAAAGCAACACATGTCCATATTTTTCATTCTAAAAATATATTTAACTATGTCTAATGAATAAAAAAAAATAGGCATGTAAAAAAAATTTATTCATGGATTTTTTAAAAAATAATATCAACAAAAAATATCTAATACAAATTCAAAAAGCTACATGTGTCCATGCTGTTTTCGAAAAAAATATTTGAATAATGTTTTATGACTACTAAAAGAAATAGACATTTTGAGATCAAATTAATATGCTGAGATTTTTAAAAAATATGTAACAAAAAATCCATTTTATAAATTCAATAACAATATGCAATTCTAAGAAATCTAATATAAATAATATGTGATGTAAAAACGAAACAGAACGATGAAACAAATTGAATAAGAACATTGGTTTTTAAAAAATTAAAAAAAAAAAACATTTAAAATAAATTAAGAAAGTAACATGTCTGCACATTCTCTTAAAAAAATTACTCATAAAAATAATATTAAAAGATAAAAAAAGTTATTTGAACGAGAAGAGTAAAAGAGACATATAACTGTAAATAATAATAAAAAATTATCTAGTAATTACAATTGCCTTGACAAAAAGTGAAATAAAATATGAATTTATTTATTATAGCAGTAACATTTGTTTGATTTCAAATTTTACTTCAAATATAACAGCGCAATTGCGTCAGAACAAAAAAAAATTTATAAGAAATGACGATAATAACCATTAAAAAAAAATTTCACATTCATTCACTTGAATATTCATTGACAATATTAAGATTAGCATTAAAACAAATTATTGTAAGTCATTTTGCAGCAGAAAACTATTATAAATTTTATTTTATTTATTTATTTTTTTTTGTCTTTAAAACAAAAACTTATTTAGGTCATAATAAAAAATAATCAGCTTTCCTCATAAATGCACCTATCAAGCTTGTGATTCAATTTTTAGGCTGAAATTGTGATGAATAATGCTTGTAATTTATTTTTATATTTATACTAAATCGAAAATTAGTAATCATTTAATTTCAAGCATAGTGATGATCTAAGTAAGCAAAGAGTCATTTATAAAATATTTCAGTTTAATTTTGTCTCCCTTTCGGAATACATTTAAAATAAGGGAATCTTACTAACAAGTGAAAACAAAACAAAAAATCACAGTAAAATATTTACTATAAAAATTTATGTTTTACATAAATTTAAACAACCCATAAATTATAATATATCATCCACAACATTAAATACTTCCACACTTTCCGTTTCATTGGCTGTAAAAAACTTATAACCACAGTACCTAAAATAATATATGTATGTATTACCACACTACTAGTGGTATACCTATAACCATAAATAGTGAAACATCAATAATAGTATAGCTTATGGCCTCCCTAACAAATAGTACAGAAATTGCAACAATAAAGTAAAAAGAAATAAAGAGAAAATGAACTGAAAGAACTAATAAATATTGTTTATCATCTTATGAATATGTTATTGGTTACCTAAATAAAGTTGTAGCCAATCCATGCAGCACATGAGAATCATTAGGTAAAACTTCAAGAGCTTGTTCATAGCACATTATTACTTCATTAACTTGCTTGTTTTTCTCTAAATCTCCAGCCACTTTTTCTAAAAATAAGGCAATTTTATGTTATACTTTTTATAAAATAATTATTTTAAAATTTTAAGTAGAATTCAGTTTCATTAATTTTTTATTTATGAACTTCAAGTAAACAGTTCTTTATGGCATTTTACTTGTCACAACTAAACTAGTAAAATTTAGTTAACAGTAATAATTGTAATCACTATTTTGAGACATAACTATAGATTACTCTTGCCACAAGCTTATCAGTAAATTTTTAACTAATTTTTTATGCTGATAATAAAATTATGTTTGTTTATATGACCAACACTCTATATAATAACCCCTGTGGTCCAATGAAAAATGAACATTATAACTTGAATACTGAAAACTATGGCAAATATTTACTCAAATACTGAACTTATTTTGGCAATCCAATTAATCCACTTTCTTCAAAATTTTAAAAGTCTTTTCTAAGCATATGGCATTTTGCTCGTTACAAACAATCATTTTAGGTAAATAACATCCGCTCAAAGAACTATAAAGGCTAAGCAAAAAAAAAAAAAGATCAAAAAGTAGAGTATAAAAAAAATGACTTGAAAATATTTTTGGAGAAATTTCATAAAAAAAATTTTGGACAGCAAAAATTTCCAGAGTTTGCGAACAAACTGGGCAGAGAGTAATATCTCATTGTTAATTATAAAAAACAACTTCAGCTAAAAACCTTTAGAAAAAAACATTTAAGTAAAGAAATAACAAATATTTAAAAAAATCTTTTTCAAAATATTACCTAAAGTAAACAGAAAAGCATTTAATAATTCTCCTTTAACAGAAGGCTCAACAGTTAAAGCCACAATGAAATGAGCAAAGGCACGGCTATATTCGTGTTCTTTTAAACACTTAATGGCTCTACTTTTGCATCGCTGCAACAGTAACTGACGACCTTCGGACCAACTATCGGTTTCCATTCTCAGATTCTATAAAAGTAAAAATATATATAAAATGATGCTTACAGAAGGGCTCTAAATGTTAAATGTCAGAGTGGAAATCCTACAATTATTTAAATAATAGAAGTAGAGATAGATGTTATTGGCGGGGGGGGGGGGGGGGGGGNGGGGGGGGGGGGGCAGTGGGTCTACGTATATCTAAATAATTAGAAATCTCTTTATGTCCCCCTCAATAATTCAGAAAAATAAAGAAAACTTTTATAATTTGTCATTGATTTAAATTCATAAAAGGTAAAATCAAGAAAGATAATCTTTTTGCTGATGTTTAGAAAATTTAAGAATTAATTTTTGTCATGTGTGAAATTTATAATTAGACTTACAGGTATTTTAATTTAGCCCCCTCAAAAATTCAGCCTCTGTAATGCCCATCAAAGTAAAATATTAGTAGTTAATGAGGAAATGCTACATATCTTTAAATAATAACAATAGAAGTACTATATTTTGAAGAAAGGTCTTCTGCTGGACTTATTACTGGGGAGATTCCCGTATTGGGATCTGTGGCAGAAAAATCGCAAAGTCTTGGAAACTTCCGGGCAGAGGCCCGCGAGAAACTTAAAAAAAAATCACAGAAAGGGAGTAAATTCAAAATGTATAACTCATAGCCACCCCCAGGCACCTTGGCGATTGTAGTTGGTGTGTCAGATCACGATACGGAAATATCTCCTTATTACTGTCCCACTCAGTTAAACAAGCATAATAACTATTGACTTTTTTTGGTAAACTTTCTTGTTAAAAAGAAAGAGTATTAAAGTCCTATTTTTTATCTTCATCAAGGTCCATTTTACTGTGAAACGGAGAGTGGTCGCTCCCAGAGGATTCACTGTGTATATGTATATATTACACATTATATTGTATTTTTGTAATAATAATAAAACGCTAAGCATTTACAGCAAATTAAAAAATAATAAATAAATAAAATGAAATAAAAAACGATAGGTATTTCTCCGAATCGTATTAAAAAATATGTTACAATTAAATTTATTTTGTGAGAACCGATTCTAATTGGATATACATTTAAAATAGCACTAAATTTCATAATTTTAAAAATCGTTATTCTGTTTCATTAAAATGACGTGACTTCGCAGCAAGTTCTGATACATTTACAAAACACTAATATTATAAAAAATATATATATATAAAAAAAAATTGAAAATAGTTAGAATTGAATAATTACATACAATTCCATTTCTAGTAAAATTAAAATTTAATTTATTTGAACTTACTAAGCCTTATCATTGAAAAAAAAACTCTTATTTTAAAAGCCTTATTAGATTAAAAAATCGTACAAACAGGAAATTTTTAAAAGAATTATTGAAAGTAATTACATGAAATTATTTTAATTGGATACTTAAGTATAATTTCATTACCTGACTAGGATTTTGTTAAATTTAAATTTGACTTTCAATCTCGGAAGTATTTCGAACGCCGAATAACAAAACTACTGTCCTCTATGATACTGTCTCAAAATATAAATAAAATAGTTATTGATTGATTGATCCATTCAACAAATGTAAAGGGTACAAAATATCAAAGTTCGATGAACTTTATAAAAACTATTTTTAAAAAAAGTCCTAATTTAAAACTGTAAATTTATTATTTCATACAAGCTTATTTATAAATAAAAACGAATTTTTTTCTTTTTTTTCGAAATAATTTCCCTGAAATTCATCAATGATAAAAATCTGAAAACTGCGCATTGTTTTTATCAATCTATCAACCTTGTGCTCAATAATTATACGCAAGATGGTTTCGATCTGAAACAAGATTATAAAGGAAATCGCGTTGTTTTCTATTTTCTCAATGTACTTTTTTATTATTATTAATTCAATATGAACACTCGTTATCAAGTATTTGAATTTGTAAGCATCAACTTACTTGTTTTAATGAAAAACTTGCAAATTATGCTCGAAAATTGCGCAATTAGTAATAAGTAAAGCACTGATATTCTTGAAGTTTTTAATTTCTTTAACTCTTTACTTAATATTTGAAATTTTTGTTTGTTTTTATCTCACTAGTAATTTTAAAATCTGAAACTCTTATTCTTTTTTATTATTAGAAAAATCAAAAACTTTTCTTGTAGTATTTTTCTGCTGTTCTATCTTGAAAATAATGTTTGAGTTGTTTCCAAAATTGCGCAATTAGTAATAAGTAAAGCACTGATATTCTTTAAGTTTTTCATTTCTTTAACTCTTTACTTAATATTTATAATTTTTGTTTGTTTTTATCTCACTAATAATTTTAAAATCTGAAACTTTTATTCTTGCTTTATTATTAGAAAAATCAAAAAAATTTCTTGTATATTTTTCTATTGTTCTATCTTGGAAATAATGTTTGAGTTGTTTTCTTACAGTTAAAATGTTTTTAATTTTCAGTCTGTTGAAGCTCGCCAAGTTCAAGAAGTAGTGGCATCTATTTTTCATACCATTTTATTTCATAGAACATTAGGAAAGGTACATTTTTCTCTATTTCTTTGATATAAAACTTATACTGTGTCCTTAGATCTAGATTGTTAGGAGCAGTTTTCTCAGGGGGTTGATATTAGGAAAGATTTATCAAATATTGTGCATAAGTATTTTTAGTAATTCTTAAGATTGTTTTTAAGCTTTTGCAGTCTTGAGTTTTTCTCAAACAATTTGTATACTTTAATTAAAGCAACTAACAATAAAATTGGAAAAAAATATCCTAAAATTATAACGTTTTATTTAAATTGAAGATGGTATGGACACAAACAGAACCAGAGTTCCAGTGTTTTATTAATTAATTTTAATTCTGTATCAAAATAGCTTTATTTATTTTATTTTTAGGGAGATACTCTAGGCCAGAGGTCGCCAAAGTGGTCTATATAGACCCCCAGGGGTCTATTTAACAAAAGCGGGGGTCGATCTGAGACAGGGGGGCGAATGGGGGTCGATCCGAATCGGAAGGGTCGATTGTGGGTCGAAAAAAAAAACAGTTCTCAATACGCAAATCACACATACCTAATTAAGTATGTAAAATTTGTGAATTTTTTTTATAATTGACTCAATATCAGTTTCTTTATAAAACATAAATTAATAAACGTATATTTATTGGGGTGAAACAAGTATTTACGTACCACCGCGCAGTGGCACGAACTCAGCGCAGTTTATAAGTCATATGCATATGTGCGCTTGTCCAAATGTCACGTGTGACGAGCATTGACGTTACAAATGCAAATATCATACGCAGTTTCAGCTATCTTTGCAAACTGTGTTGAATATTTGCAGTGTCATTATTAAAACTTTTATAGTTTTGGATAATTAGTTATTGTTTCGATAAAACCATTCGTTTGGTTTAGATATCAATTTTAATTATCAATGCACAAAAAAGAAGGTAAGCATTAATAATATGGATTAGTACAGCCCGCGACAAAACTATAGCACACTTTGTATTTTTTTACGAAAATTACAAAATTGACCAATTTTGACGAAAATTAAAATTGACCAATTTTGAACCCAATATAGCGAACCTTGCAAAAAAACACCAGGCACACCCATCTCATTGATCAAGAAGCAGTAAATCTTTAGTTACTTTACTTATTATATCTACTTATGCATAATTACTTATTATTTAATAATAAGGTATTTAAATTTCAATATTAATATATTTTTCATAAAACTATTGTTACACAATGTACTATTACTTTAATAAATGTTTAAAATCATAAAATAAATGTACAAACTCAGTATCTACTAGAGTTTTATTTTAATTAAACAGAAAATTTTGTGGGGGTCGATGGAGATTTCGAAAAATTATATAGGGGTCGATACTCAAAAAAGTTTGGCGACTCCTGCTCTAGGCAAACAAATGAATTTATCATAGCATAATATTTAAAAGTGCAACTTTTGTTCTGAGCAGTTTCTGAACATGAGGATAAAAGATGGAGCATCACTAACATTTAAGTGGATTTAATATGGCCTTGTCTCTAATTGAAAAACTGTATAATTTTTAATTTGTTACATTTCCAAGAGTTAAATGTAAACTTATGGGAAAACTTTATGGTATATATATTTTTTTTCTGTAAATTGTTATAATATTCCATGAATTATTTATATATATTTTTTTAATTGAAACTGAGTTTATTAATTATTAGATTACTTTTGGCATAAATGCTAAAACTTCAATCTTGATACCGATTTCCATAATCAAAGGAGTTTTAAGCTGAAGTTTTTATAGAAAATGCATTATTTGCCCATTTGTTATTATTTGTATTTGAAGCAACCAATATTTTTTTAATTACATTTTTCGTAAAGTGTAAATAATATGCTGTGTAATTTGTGAGACTTTTAGGTAATAAAAATGAGTATGTCTTCGTTTTTATTTTCTTGTTAAATTTCAGTTTGAAAAATTTTATTTTGTAAGACATTCAGTGTTTTATTTTTAATATAAGTATTCATAATCCTTCTTTATATATTTCAGTGTAACTTCAAAAATGAGGGCAATAGCTATACTGTCAGTACTCTAGATTTTGAAGACGTTGCTTGTGATTTCGTTGATTTTACTTATGTAAGAGTACAGCATGTTTTTATAACTATATAGTACCTTTAAAAAAAATAGATGTTTTCCAGTTCAAATATTGTCTTGGCATCTGAGGTGGAAGATGTGATTTTGCTGATTTTACTTTTATAAATATTAAGCTTATCCCCTTGGCAGAATCGCGGTGACATTGTTGCAGAACGTTACAGAGTTCTTGCAGAAAGATTTTTCTTTTCAGAAGTAAAAAAAATAAAAATTACCTTTATTTTTTTGTCAGAAATTTACCTGTTATATTTGAATCATGCATTTAGATAATCACTTTTTGATTCACTCAATATATGCCGATAGTATCGTGTAAATTGATCTATTGTTTCCAGTGTATTTTCGTCAGTTACTGATATTGATTTTAAAGTAGATTTTAAGTATCCCGATAAACAACATAGATATTTCAAATCGTGTATTTAAGCATTTACTTTTTAAGGCAATAATTCTGTCGAATTTTATCAGTTATTGCTATTGATTTCTCCATAGTTTTTAAATCCTATATTTTTTATACAATATTATTTGTATACAACAGCCTAATCAAAAAACGAAACATGCATTTGAGATGTTCGATTTACGTGATTTTGTCGTTGATCTTTTTTTTTTTTGCCAAGTATTACTATGGATTTAAATATTTTTTTTATTACAAAAGGTAAAGGAAATAATTTCTGCTTCCCCCCTCCCAACAGGATACGAAAATGCTACCTTTAAAATTAGAATAAAAATTACATGTTCAATTAAAAAAAAATTATATATCGTTTTTTTTTTTTTTTATAAGCACAGCAATTTTGTTATTTTAAATTAGTAACATACATGTTTATTATTATCAAAAGTATCTTGCAGAAAGATATTAGTTTCTGTAAGATACTTTTAATAATAATAATAAACATATAACCAAGAGAGTTTTGTCGTAGATAACTCAAAACAATTCTGCCACAAAGAAGCTTATATCCATATAGACTTTAAAAAGAATTGGATCTTCAAATATTATGGTAAGCTCATAAGCTTACCATAATATGCTTAAGATCGAAAGTATTTAAATTGATTATTTTGCTGAACAGGAGAAATGCTTATATAAGATCCTAAAGTACTTGGAGAAAAAAAATGCTTTCAAATTGGGAAAAAAAATCTAATTACTTTGCAAAATAAATAAATTACTTTCTAAAAAAAAAACTTTTTATTGATCGAGAAAGTTATATGCTCATTTTTGGAAAAAGAAAAACCTCCAAAATCGCCAAAAATTTGATTAAATAATCATATTTGATTTGCATTTATTACTGATAATTAAATATTAAAATAAACTTGATCGCTTTTTTGTATCGCTGATAACAAAAAAGCTTTTTTAACTGAATTCAAACATTTCTAATTTTGCGTGTATTTCTCTCTTCATATTATATTCTTTAGTTTTTAATCTCAAAAATTGTTTTATAAAATTAACTGAGTACCAATTAATTTAAGGTGAAAATATCACTTTGATCAATACTTTGATGATTAATAGAAATTATTGGTCTTCTAGAGATCAATTTGTGTATGACAAATTTTCTACCTTAGCATATAATGTTAAAGAAAGTTCTTAAGACATAAATAACTTACAAATAGTTATTTTTAATAAAATGTCATTTTTAAAAGCTATTTATGGCATTTAAACATTTTGTGCTATATATGTTGCTGCTATTGTTAAAAATATTACACTTTCTTTGCTCAATTAAATTTTTTTAAGTATTGACAGAACAATAAAAACCTTCACCTTCACTAAGTGAACTAGTTTCGGAAGATAGTAATAAAAAATTAAGTGTTCAAATCTGTGATAAAAGTTTTAAAACTTTTTCTGGTATGTAGCTATGTATAATTTTTCAAATGGACATTTTCCTTGTATTTAGCAAAACATTGTAATTTTCTTTTTGATAATTTCCATTAATTTTATTATGCATTAACACTTTCACTGCCGCGGGTTACAAAACGTTAACTCATTTTGTATTTGTAAACCTCTAAAAGTATAATTTTTTTTTATTTTCTGAGCATATTAAAATGAAATCAAGATGGAATCAAATTCTTTAACTTGGAACAGGCTTTTTATTGCTATGATCGATTTCGGGTTTTATCAGAAAGAATTTTTTTATCTACTTGTAAATGTTAATTTAGTTGAAATTCATTTTTATTATTAAAAGAAATTTTTATACTTAGTTGGATTTAATTTGTTTGCATTTTTTACATCGGTAATTCATATTTCAAGTTATATTTATTATTTGAATATATTGGTTTTTCTAGGTTCGATGTGCTTCTGACGATATGAATCGTTATGTCACTTCAGAGATAAATTCATTTTGTGCAGCTTTAAGAAGTCAAGAAGGTCCATATAGTGGACAAGTATAACATTTTATTCAAATAATCGCCAAAATATTTAAATTGCTTATTTAGTGTACAATGTGAGCAGTAACTTATGTTCATTTCTTTGTAATTTTTCCACTAATATATTTAATTTCAGAACAGTAATATGAAATGATTTTCAGGATGTTGTTTTTAACAAACATAATGCAATTGTATCTTTGAAAGTATGCATAGAATAATTTATAATAAAATGCCTCATTTTTGAATAAATCTGTATATTAACAAGTGATATCCACCTCAATATATAAATAACATAGTATAATATTATTGTATGATTAATTATTCTATGCATTGTATAATATTTGTATACGTAGTATGATTATTGTAATTTTGATGGTTATTTTGTATTCTTGTTTGAAATGGAATTTTCTTCAGCAAATGATATTTGCAGTCAGAAAAGTGTATTACAAATGCCATCTTGTTATATTAATTTCTTTTTAAAAAAGAAAATGAAGAGGGTTACTTTTTTTTTTTATTAAAAAAATAAACACATTTTTATACACATACATTTATTTGAATATACATATATTTAAAATACGTAATATTTAAAATATATAATATTTAAAATATAGAATTGTTTTACAGGGTAATAATTTTAGTTTTTCTCCCTTGCACAATATATCCAATGATAGAACGAAAAACATTCCCTGCAGATTATGAAACATTATTTGTGCTTAATGGTTAACCTTTTGAAATATTAATTAATAATTATTTACTTTGAAATTGAAATTACTTTTGAAAATATATTTAGTTCATTTTCAATTGAAATCAATAGTTTAAAAAGATTAATTTTCTAAAGTTTCATTTTACAATAATCTTTTTGAGTGAAAAGTATAACAGTAGTGACAAATACGTCATCGGCACTTAATTAATCTTTTAACACAATTAATAATAAATCTAATTATATCAAGTTTAATTAGCAATCAAAATAACTAATAAAAACACACTTTGCACAATCTCAATTATTAAGATTAAGTTACTTGAAATGTATGTATATGATAATAATCATGTTAAATTTAAAAAAAAGGAAAGTTTATTGAAAAAGAATTAAAAAGTCAAAGTAATACCTTGTTTTAAAAAAGAAATAAAGACCTGGGAAATTTTATTATGGCAAAAATTCCTTTTGTCATTGCAGGGAAAAAAAATTCCCGATTAGTACACAGTTTGATTTGAGCAGTGAGCTTATTTGTTTTTGCATGCTGGCCCTTAATTTCTCAAAACTGTCATCAAACCAATTAAACTTTTTGAGTTTAATGTGTCAAAGTACCTAGTGCAGAGCTATAAAAACCTTTTTATTTCTCAACTTATTCACTCTTATTTTTTCTCTAAATCTATTTTAAAAATGCTTTATATAATGAAAGGTGAATTAAAAACTACATGTCGTTGTTACACATCCCCCTGGAGAAGGAAAGCATAGAACTGGTCCAGAAGGGCCCGTCGCGTCAGTTCCCCATATATCTGCAGAAAGTCCCGATCAACCAGCAGCTGCTTAAAAGAAGCGCCAAGGCAAAAAAAAAAGGTAATCAGGACTAGCAGGTTGTGAGCAGGAACAAGGTTGGAAAGTCTTCTCCCAATTTTGAAACCTTAAACACTTAAAATGGCCACTACGAAATCTGGCCAAGACCGAGGGCCGCAGCATGTTAATGATAGGCCAGGGCTGTTGATAGCATACCACTGATGGGATGGAGTGCTGCTCCACACTGGAAGCAAACGATGTTTTCCCAGGGAGTAGATCTCAGTGGGAGTAAGACGGTTCAAACAGTCCATAGGACGATCACAGCCATTCTTGGCGAGCACATCGGCGGTCTCATTGCCATGTACCCCGACATGCAATGGGATCCATTGGAGGCTTATTAGTGTCTTCAAGACTATCTCAGATAGAAGCGTCATAATCTCCTGGCCAGGAATATCAAATATTTCTGGCCAGTTCTTGAAATACTGAATGGCACTCCTACTATCGGTTGTCTGGGCATAATTAAGGGCAGTCACTTGCATAATATGAGTTGGTTGTTTGGCTTTAACAAATGAATTCTCTGTAGCTTCTGGCTGAACTTTTTTTCACACTTCAAAGTAATTTTGAAGTTTATCTTTACAGTGGCAAACAAGCGGATTGCAAGAAGCAGCTCATTTGAAATAGATTAAAAGAGAACTTAATTTGACTTTTATAATATGTTACTTTCAATATTTATTGTTTTCTTGACATTGAATAGTTAATATTACAATTTTTACACTTAGATCTCTCTTGAATTTTATCAAAAGAAAAGAGGTAGATGGGCTGCTGTCTTTACTCAAGAATTTTCATCATGGGAGGTGTGGACTTTAAAAGTGAATGTTATTTGTCTACCCAATGAACATGGTACGAAAACATTTTGTTAAAACTTAAGTCCGCAATTAACATGTTTTCTCCATTATAATTTTTTTTCTCTCTCTTACAGAGCGCCAAATTTACAGAAAGAAAATCCGTGACTTACTTGCTGAAAAAGTATTTGATATTGTATCTGCCATGAATAAGTATGATTATGTGCCAAAGATACCTGGCCAAGCAGATATAGACTTATATTTTGATACTTCCTATAGTGATGTACAGCCCTATTTATTCAGAGTATGATTTTAATTTTACGCTTGTCTTAAAATGTTTTTATCTTATGAGTGCTTTAAGTTAGCACCAGTGTTATTTATTTTTGTGTAATTTTAATGTCGTGCTGATTTTTTTCTAACAAAGAACAAACAAGTTTTATACAAAATTGATTTAGCTGTGTTTCAAAAGAAGGGACTCCGGTGAAAGAAGTTGCTGTCCGAAATATTATGATTCTAATAAATTATAAAGTTTCAGATAAATGTTACTGTTTTAAAAGCGCCTAATAATAGAGGTGTGAGATGAGACTATTCGCAAAAGATCATTCTTGGAGAACGACAATATTCTCATGAGACTGAAATTAGAGAATAATTGAGAACATTCTTTTTTTATCAATTAAGTAAAAAAAAATTTTTAAAATTATACTTGTATCTGATATAAAAGGCTGTTAAATTATTATTCTCAAGCAAGCAAATCACAAATTCTTTTTAGCTATATTCACCATGTAATATATTATTGGTAGTTTTTATTTCACGAATTTCCTTTAAACTGTGATTCTAACATTTTTTTTTTTTTGACTGAACATATGATTTTAATTTCTTCCCTAATCTTTATAATTTCTTACAATTAAAAGTTTCTAAGATACTCTTTATTATAGAAAAAACAATACCAAATAATGGGGAAAAAATTTATTTTTGTTACCAAAAAGCTAATGAAATTCTTTGTAAACACAAAGCTTTTTAAAATTTAAATTTCAAACTAAATTTTATACAGTTCAAAATTAAATATCTTCATGCAGATGAAATTTTATTTTCTCTATTGCACTCTTTGTCCTCTTAATTCATTCTATGATTAGCAGCTGAATTCAGTAGCCTTATTCTTTAGGATGAATACAAATTCTATATTAAAATTAACATTTTAATAGATATTTAGGATAGAGTAGGATAATATGGGATGAGAATCTTATTTATAGAATTTAAACGAATTGAGCAAATGATTCTAAAATTTGTTCAATGGCTCCATGCTAATTGTGAAAGACTGCTAGTACTTTATCTTTAATATTTATCCTTACTTTTTGATTTGCTCTTTTAAATTTGATGTTAAATAATTTTCTGTTTTCAGATAAATCATGAAACATCTGGACCAACAAATCCTTCTGTAGGAACAGCTGTTAGAAGATTAATTAAAGATACATTGGCTCTATAAGGTACTTTTTTATTATATTTAAAACATTTATTGAAAATCAAATAAATGCTCTTAAAAGAGAAGTTTTGAGCATTTTGCTGACTTGAAAAATTTTGTGCTATAAGGCAAATAGTTTTAACACCATTTTATAGTTGACTAATAGAAATGCGTATCAAGATGGTGGAATTTTGCTCAAAACTGAAATTCTTTTTAAAATTTTATTTTGTTAAAAGCATAAATACACTGAAACAATTTGTGCAGTCTATCAAAAAACACCTTATGAAAAGATGGTTCTGTCTCTTTATTCTAAGAATTTTGTGTCCAACATGTTCCTTAAAGTCAAGTTGCACGTTAAACTCTTTGCTGAAAGTCCTTTTGTTGGTGAGGAAGATCAAAGTGAGGGATCACACATTGCCCATGTCATCTGGCCAAATTTAAAAGTTCATTTCTTTCATGGATATTAAAAAATAGAGATACCATGAAAAACTGGGCTATACTCTAGACCATAGTTTAGTGATATTTTCCTCACAGTGGGTGATCAATCAAAGAAAAGGTGGAAACTAATCGAATAGCATCTATTTAGGTTTGCTCATATATTTAGTAGCATACATTTAGTCATATCTTATTCACTAAAATTGACCTGAGTGTTGATCACCAATTAGTTTCAAGCTTTTATAGAAATCTGGAAAGAAAAATTTTTATGTTTGTATGCTCTGTGACTCAATATTTATTTGATGGAAATTCTTACTGAAATGATAAATCATAACTGAAAAAACTTGGCTGTGAATTATTATCGTCTCTAAATTATAGCTCAGACCTGACTTTCATTTATTGTAATCAATAAAAATTCAGTTCATTACCCATACCTAAAATACCTATAAAAAATTTTTAGTCATTTTTTACAACTTTTCTTTTACAATTCAGCAACTACTTTTTTCACTGTTATTATATTTTAAGCCTTCTATTTACTTAGTAAGTCCCATGAAATTCTAGGAGTTATTCTTTGCTTAGGAATGTTTTTTTTTTTTCCTTAGTGTTGGCATCTAGAATTATATAAAGTAAAGAAAACAATGCCCAATCAGTAAGTCACTAAATAGAAAAGTAGAAACTGTAGCAGATTTTGCATTACAAAGAATGCACCACATAGAGGCCTGTCATTTTCCACTCATAATTTAAATTATCGTTAAAATTCTTTTACTGTGCTTATATTATTTTTAATGTAAACTTGTATTTCAATGAAAGAAAGAAAAATTTTTACATGGATAGTAGACATTTCTATTTTTTAAATCAGTAAAAGAATGTATTGCAGGGCTGACTGTGCTCCGGAAAAAATCCGGATTTTTCGCTAACCGTTATCCGGAAGTTTCCGGAGATTGAAGGTTCAGATGTTTCAAAAATTATTGATCACAAAAGTTTCCGAAAGTCAAATTTTTACAAAGGTGGAACTTGAAAAAACAGTTTATTTTATTTGTAGAGGAGAGACGGATACTTTATAAGCTTATATTCAAGATTAATATTAATTTTTTATCAGTAAATAGTTATTATAATTATAAACTCAAGAAAAAGACATATTTGTAAATTTCAATTACTTCTCCAGGTCGACATAGGTATGTGTAAAATTATGAATATATTTTAAGTAAACTAAGAAGTATTGAGAAAAAGGTAAAAACCTTGTTTAAATTTTTTTCTAATTTTTCCATTTAATTTCTTTTTTTTTTTTTTTTACTCACGAAATTTTCCGGAATTTTGACTTGGGCTCACAATCACCCCTGGTATTGTAAAGTTCTAAACAATCAAAAGTTTTGATTACTTTATTTATTATATTAAATAACTTATCTTTCATATTAATTAAGTATTTTTGAATTGACTCTTATTTACATGATTTTATATACATACTAGCATTAAGACCTTGTAAATATAAAAACACAATTTATTTCAGAATTATAATGAAGTAATATTCTGAAGGATATATTGTTTCTTTATTTTAACTATTTATCTTTAAATTACATATTTTTATTAAGCAATAAAAACTCATCTTGCCTAAAGTTTAACTTAACTGAAAATTATTTAAAGTTCAATAATTAGTTTCTTTGTTAGTAAAGAATTCCATTAGAAAATATAATTAGTATTTCTAATGGTCATTAAAGTATATTATAAATTTTTTTTCAGATAAATAACTAACTTCTCTTCTGTTCCTACCACGCATTGAAAAATCTTTTTGCTTCATAGTGAGAATGTTTTAGAGATTTCTCAAAGCCAGATGTTTCCTCTAAGAATGAAACTTGCTCACCATGAACGAAAGAAATCACATAAGAAATATTATCATTTTAAATATCTGCTTCCTTTTGCACGATGTCTATAAACATAATTCACATTTTTTACCCATATTGTTTTCTATGTGTGTAATTTTATTGCTTAGATTTTTTATGTATATATTTAAAGTTTTTTACTAAAATAAAAAAAAATCAAATTATGTAGGTTTTATTTTCTTGTATGAATAAAAATTTGTTTTGTTACATTCATAACTTTCTGAAAAAATAAAAAAATTATATAGCATTATAAATATGGAAAAAAGAAAGAAAGAAACATAATAATAAGTCGATAGATGTCAATGTTATTTTATGAATTTTTCTGAACTCAAATTTAACACTAAAGCATTTATTTTTAAAATATATATATTTCTAAGAAAGAAGAAGACTGAAAGTAAGCAACAGATTTAAAAGTGAACAGAAAGTCAGCAGAACAGAAATTAAATTTCTGTTTTCAAAGCTAGTTTTATTTTAAGATGTTTCTTTGTTCGTTTAACAATAATTTGTAGCAGTCAAATAAATTTACTTCATTAATATTGGTACTAATAAAGATATTTGTATTGTAAAAAATGTTTTTAAGAAGTGTACTTTCTTTTCGAACTATGTTTAATGCAGTTTTCTGTTCCTTATAGTTTCCTAATTTAAAAATTTTTTATCAGTTTGATAATCAAGACAGAAACTAATGTACTTCCTTCTCCTGTGACTCTCCACAAGCTAATAGCGAAATTGTTGTTTATTCCATCGGTAGAGAGATCTGCTCTACAGCACCTGTAGCCCATTTTGATCACCAATATAAGTTAACAAGTCAGTCTTTTATATTTTGTGACGTATTAAAGTTAAAGGCCAATTGATTTTTAGCCGAAATATGAATCTTTGGTTGTTTGCTTTCTCTAGCATTTGTTCAACATCAAAACTTAATAAGTAATTGGTAAGCGAAATGGGCTGCAGGTGACTCTCTATCTATGGCAACATTTTGCATGCTTTCAACCATTAGCATGTGGACAGTCATAAGAGAAGGGAGTACATTAGTTTCAGTCTTGATTTTTAAATAGAGATTAAAAACTTTTAAGTTGGGGAACTATATGGAAAGCAATACTGCATTAAACCTTCTCAAAGAAAAGGTTGTGGAAATTTTAGAAAATACTTTTTGACAATTTAATAAGAAAAATGCTATGAAAGAGAAAACATAACACGGATGGTATTTTTCAATATAAATGTAAACAACAACAAGCCCTTGAACTGCTCTACTTCCAATAAGAAAGTATACAGTTGCTTACTACAGCTTGGATGGTATTTTTCAATATAAATGTAAACAGCAACAAGTTCTTGAACTGCTATACTTCCAATAAGAAAGTATACAGTTGCTTACTACAGCTTGGATGGTGTTTTCTACAATGAGGAGCGATGCAAGCTCTTGACTACCTATACTTCCCGGTTACTGTTTTTGGTGTGTTTTGAGGCTAATTGGTTTTTAACGCTAATCAACATACTATTATATCTATATATACATGCATAGTAACATATAGGGCCACATTATGTACCCCCTATTAAGCCTATAATTATTTCCTCTAGTAGGGAACTCTAGTCCTAGGAAATATAATAAGTGGTCCAATTTGAATATTATGGGTCAATATTAAGATGACATATAGGGTCATGTTGTAATACAGAAATAGTGATCATTGTGTTTTGAGACTCTCATGATTAGTATTTCTTGTATACATGTATTTGTTGCCTGATATATTATTTGTGTTTAAAAGAAAAATCGTCTTTTCCAGATGTAATAATTGTCATTTGAAAAGAAAAATCGATATAAAACACTTCTTCCCTTGTTAACAAAATACGAACTTCAAAATTTAAACCTAACAGATAATTTGTAAAATGAACTTAATCTCACTGCTCGAACAATATTCTAACTCTAACATATGATGGTGCACTAAGAACAAACAGTAATAAACTAGTAAAAACTGCCAAAAAACCTAGTTCTTTCCAAATCTTTCAACCATGTCACCTTTTTTAACACTACATCTCTAAATGACTAAAACAAATTTGCCCTTCTAACTTATCAGAATTACTTAATATCTTAAGAAATACAGCAGATTTTAGCTCAGAAATTATACACTGGTGTGTAAAACTTAAGCAACAAGTGGTTTTATGGCCACAGCTCCCCAACAAAGTATAAGATAGCCATGAAATTGCAGTATAATATGCACGTAATTCAGTTGTTGTTGTTAATTTACGTCGCACTAGAGCTGCACAATGGGCTATTGGCGACGGTCTGGGAAACATCTCGGAGGATGATCCGAAGACATGCCATCACAATTTTGATCCTCTGCAGAGGGAATGGCGCCTCCGCTTCGGTAGCCCGACGACCTGCACGCGAAGTCTAGCACTTTACGGTAGCACAGTTTAACGAGGACCAATACCGCACACCCTCGGTCTCTACGCAGACTGATACAAGTGGTCTCCCACCCGCACACTGACCGTAGCCAGTGATTCTTGACTTCGGTGATCTGCTGGGAACCGTGTCTTAACGATCAGTCCACTGCGGGTCGCACATAATTCAGTAGAAAGATTATTTGTATGCAAATTTTAGAAATAAAACGTCGTAGGTGATGTAAGTGTACGTAAACCTTGTGGGTCGGCGCGCGCAGGTCAAAGCTGTGATAAAAGGATGAAGAGCACCGTAGTTAAAGACATTCGCTGCAAGTTCAAGTGATTTGTTTTGTGAAACATGTCTTCAAGAAATCATTTAGACGACTTTACCCGAGGAAGAATGATTGGGAAGCTTGAGGAGGGGCGTAGAGTGACCAGTGTCGCCGAAGAGCTCGGGATCAACAAAAGTGTTGTTTCTCGTGCTTGGAATGCCTTTAAAACTACTGGTACAGCTGTTCGGAAGGTTGGTGGTGGCCGTCCAAGGAAAACAACACCAAGAGATGACCGTTACATTTGTCCTCCAGGCGAAAAGAAACCGTTTTCAGTCAGCGAGCGCCATATCTCAGTGACTGTGCACAGCCACAGGACGACAAGTATCAAGATTTACAGTGGCCAGACGCCTCCACAAAGGTGGCTTATTTGCTAGACGTCCTGAACGCTGCATACCTTTAAAAGTTAGCCACCGGCGGCACCGTTTAGAGTCGTGCAGAGATCACGAAACCTGGACACGTCATCAATGGAGTCGCGTCCTCTTCACAGACGACAGTCGTTATAGTGCTACAGGCGATTCTCAACGTCAATTGATCTGGAGAGAGGTTGGAGCTTGATTTTATCCCAATAACATCGCGGAAAGAGATCGTTACGGTGGTCCTGGAGTTGTCGTCTGGGGTGGCATTATGTAGAACGGGCGGAGTGAGCTTCAGATCTTCGACCGAGGTTATGTAACTGGAGACCGCTACTGCAATGAAGTAGTCCTACCCCATGTGCGTCTGGTCCAATGCCCCCATGTTCCGAGGGGCCATTGGACCAGACTTCATTTTTATGGATGACAATGCCCGGCCACACCGTACTGCTAATGTTCAAGAGCTACTGGAAAGTGAAGATATCACACGGATGGATTGGCCAGTTTACTCTCCAGATCTAAATCTCATAGAGCATGTATGGGATGCATTAGGGAGACGTCTTGCGACACGACAGTATCCTCCTGGTAACACCCATCAGCTGAAAGATGCGTTAAAGGAGGAATGGAGACATTTACCCCAAGAACTCCTGGATAATCTGGTGCTTAGCATGGAGAGACGATGCCAAGCAACAATTACAGTAAGGGGAGGGCATATCCCATACTAGGGAACATCTGCCAGTTGTACTTACACTTCTTCAGGCAATCATGTGTAACGCCACTATATGTCAAATAAAGCCTTTTTTTGTTCCATACCCTACTTTAAGCTTTATATTCATTTCTGCGCCATTATTCTTTTACCATCGTTTAAGTACAAAATAATGTACATCATATTCAAATTTCATGTCAATCGGATGATTTCTTGTAGAGTTATGACAAAAAACGCACTTGTTGCTTAAGTTTTGCACATCAGTGTATAATTTGTATCTTTTGTGAAAAACAAACCTATCTGTTTGAAAATATTGTCTCACAGAATAACCTATGTACTTTTTAACTGAAAGTAGAGCAGGTCAAGAGATTGAGATTGTTGTTTGCATTTATATTGAAAGCACCATCCATATTTTCAAACAGATAATTTTGTTTTTAATAGGAAAAAAATATATGTATAATTTCTGAGCTAAAATCTGCTGTATTTCATAAAATATTAATGATACCAAGTGATTCTGGTGAGTCTTAAGTGAAAATTTGTTTTAGTTATTTATAGATGTATTGTTAAAAAAAAAGGTGCCTAAAGCAAAATGGTTGCCTAACTAAGAAAGAACTCGCTTTTTTGACAGTTTTGATTTGGCCTTTTTTTTACTTGTTTACTACTGTACTTGTTGCAAGTCCTGCACCATCATATGTTATTGTTAGCATATTGTTCGAGCAGTGAGATTAAGTTCATTTTACAAATTATTTCTTGGGTTTGAACTTGGTACATTGTTGACGAGGTTAGAAGTGTTTCATAACGATTATTTTTTTCAAATGATGATTCTTATAACGTTTCTTTTTTTTTACACAAATAGTAAATCGAGTAATAAAAACAGATGTACAGGAAATATTACTCGAGAGCCAAATGACTTCAAAATACACCGGAAACAGTAACCCGAAAGTATAGGCAGGAAAGAGTTAGCCCTGGCTTGCAGCACAGTGTAGAAAACACCATGTTTAGTACATTCTTATACAACTGAGGGTAGGGTGAAGACATGGAACCGGTTTTCGCCCCATATGGCGTATTCAGGCGTTGCGATCACAAATAGAACCGATTAAACTTTTTTTTGCAAAAAATAAGACAAATGTCAACATTGAAATCCAAACAATTATGAATATTATTAATTATGCACTTTTTACCCCTGGTCTAAGTGACCAGCGTTTTCAAAACACTAAAAAACTGGCAGCAAAGCTTTTAAAAGAACATTTGAAAACTCTTCTTAACCTTATTAAAAAATTATTTCTGTTAGTAGGTGGGTAGGTACTTCCTTTGAGTCGAACTAGAGCTGCAGAATTGGCTGATGGTGTCTATCTAAGAAATATTCTTGAGAAAAAGTCGAAGACATGCCATCGCAATCTTGA